TAAAAACCAAGAGTATACATGAAATGGACTAAAGACTGGAATACTGTGATTGTTCACCATAACAAAACTGGAAACAGATCTCACCATTAACAGGCAAGGGTCAGTGGGTAACTTCAGCTCCAAGTCACGCAACAGTATACTGCTGATCAGTACAGGGCAATCATAAAAAACAATTCCATTCCTAAATCTAGATTAGGTTAAATAAAAGATAAAGTCAAAGAGACACTGATATTTGAAGAGACAAAAGTTGAAGAACCTGGTCATTGAAAATCTTTACATAATACAAACTCCCAGAAATTAACACCTAACAACAAAACAAAGACAAAAAACAGCACCAATTTCTCCAATGATTTTGAAAATGAGATGGATGTACTTAGGCTGGAATTCTGAAAGTTCATTTTTACTCTTAAGGTCAGAATCCAAACAGCTGACCAATTATAACAAACAGTAATTATAAAATGGTGGTATCTGTTATAGCCATCATGAAAGAATTCATTCTCCCACAGTGTTTGAGAGAAATAATAAGAACATTTCAGTTACATGAATAGATATGAAATGAAACAAGCAAAACCAGCAAAATATATACAATGACTACAACAACAAAGCCAAAACTAAATGCTACATCTTTATAATGACTAATCTCGGCTCTTAAGAAGAAATGGGACCACATCTCTTTGCTCCTTTTCTTTGCAAAAGATGGGAGACTAGGGATGTTGAACACTATATAACATCAGATCTTTTTGATGTTAGTGGTGTCGAACCTTTTTCCCCCTTTCCTATCTTTAAAAATTCTTTATTATAAGGGATGGCTCTATAAAAGGGGGTAAGGAATAGGATGCACTGGAAAAAGTTGGTAATCTAAATATATAAAATACACACACACACACACACACAGCAGTATGTGTGGTTGACACTGCCGTGGTCATTAGAAACACAGGAGGAAAGGTACAATTATCCAGGAGTACCCCTGAAGGAAGACATCAAATCCCACCATATGCAGCTTGTGAGAGCTACTGAAGATCTATAGGAAAGCACTGGATATCATGTCAGTATCTAGCCAATTATGCAAAGCAGAAAAACCTAACTGAAGACAACAAGAAAAAAGTAGAAAGAAATCCAGAAAACAAATGCATATCAGAAATTCTAGATTCCCTTTATCAGTATTAGAAAGCAAAAGTTAAAAAGGTGAGGCAACCCAAGGAGTCAGTCAAAAACTTTACTCCAGAATCTTGAGAAGTAAAAAAAATTAGAGGTAAGAGAGAACCTTTCTAAAGGAGGAGAATTTCTGATCATCTGTATGGTGGAAAAAAGTCCCAACACAAATGGATCAAACAAGAAACAGCAAGCTTACATACCATTAACGTCATGCAAAAGAAAACAATTCCAGCAAGGGAGATAACAAATCGCAGCTTCCGTTAAACTGCCAAGACAGGAACCAGTGAAGATCCATAATTCGTCGTTCACGTACTTCACAGCAGCGCATGAATTACGAGCAAGGCGCCTTCACCAGCTTCCTCCTCTCAGACAGGAGACACCTTTCTTAACAGAAGGCGTCACTATCCATTTACAAAAGATGAGAACACCAGCCACTCTCCCAAATACAGGTTAATTATTTGCGTACTTTCTACAAAGCACCCATAGCCTATAGCACACACAAAACATCTATAAACACAAGAAAACAATACATCAACTAAGAATCAAAAAAAGTCCCATTGGTGTAAAGAAACGGAAGTTATTAAACAAGCTGTCTGAAAGTACTGTACTATTTATGCTGCCTTTACTGAATCAAAGCCTTTGACTCCGTTCTGCACTCATGGATGCAAATGTATTGCAAATCTATGAAATGGGTTCAAGTGTGGTAAGAATGTTAATGTATTTGTTAACCACATGGAAAATTGTTCTCTTTGGAAGCATATCACCAATACGAGAATGCCAAGAAAAACTCACACAAAACTAAGGCGTTTTTCTGAGGAGTTTCAGTTAAGCCCATTAAGGTTGGTTCTGCCTAACCTTAAATTCAGTATCAATTATCTCTCTTAATCAAAACTAAGTATGGCTTCCATATTAAAAGGAGAATCAAACTAAAACATCTTATCACTTAGTGTACACGAATCAAGCTACCTGACTCTACTAAGAAACAAATCAGATAGAAAGATAGCATACAATCAGGACTTGCTATGTGTCAAGCATATTAAACATCTCCTTCATTTTGTGAATCTTTCCCCTATGATATCAACATGTCATTTGGACTCAAGCATAAATTCTTACTGTATGCCAAGGGAAGCTGATGACTAAGGTGTTAGCTGAATGTGGAGGTCTCATTAAACCAGTGGACGAAAGAAACACCTACAAATACTTTGGCATTTGGCAAGACATACTGTGAACACAAAGGTATCAAAGAGAATGATATGGCTGTCTGTGTACATCAAAAGACTTAATGGCATCCTGAAACCAAAGTTCAACTGGAAAAATACATGTAAAACAACATCTCTGCAATGGCAGTCTTAATGGAGCCCTTCAGGACTATAAAATGGACCATAAGAGACTGGGAAAAGAGCCTTACAAAAACCTGACCTAAATAATATTAACAGAACACAGGACCCATTATCCTAAGGCAACTGTAGAAAGATTAATACTGGGTTTCCAAAATAGGAGGAGGACGACTGGTGTACTTTTAAAAAATATATGATAAGTAGCTCAAACTCCTACAGAAACACTTTTGGTGAAGCAGACATCACTTCACCAAGAAATAGTCAGGGCTTATAAGTACACGACACTGGATCTGTCAAATATAACCTCAAGATGAAGCATATGAAATGGCTAAGATCCCAGAATGGAATCAAAAGGTCCCCAGTGGGCATGTTGTACATGAACTCAGAACATGTAGCTGAGTCATGCAGTCCTGTGGATGTGGAAGAACTTATGACGGTGGTTCAGGAATGGGACACTGACACTAGGAATTAAAGACGGGTTATCCTTAAGGAACTTGGACTTAGGGTTCAATGGAGATTCCATAAGGAACGGCAGAAACTCTGTAACATATCACTGCAGGCTGTAAAGAACTTAACACCTACAGAATCCTTAGCAAGGTGTGACCTGATGGCTAGAATCGTATGTGTCAGAAGCTCCCTCTCTTTCATGGACTGATTCGCGGCAAACCCTCACATTACAAATATAAACCCAACAATAAAATGTCCAGGAATCAGACCATGATCACATACCAAAGCGTTCCCCTCAATCACTCAAACATAACAGGGATTTATAAAAACTGAAAAGCAATTCTAACAGATGACATCACGTCACCAAATACGCATGACCTCTAAGCCACACGAACGTGAAAAGTTTTCAAAATGTCTCCAAGTGGCAGAGGAGAAAGGTAGGAACAAGATAAGGCGTCTCTCATCACTGCCGTCTCCTATGTGCTACTGGAGGTGTCCCAAGGATGCTTTAATGAGCCTGGGGAGGAGGAGTTTAACACTTTTATTCCATTACTGAAAGCACTTATTTTATCCATATGTGCAAGTGCCTGTAGAACATTAAATATAAAAGACTAGTAATAGGACAGTGACTTTTCTGAGGACTGTTTCTGACTGAACCTTATCAAAAAGGAAGAGATGAATAAAATAATGATAATGATTTAAAAAAAAAAAAAGACCTGACTTCTAAACCCGCAGCCTTGCCATCTGCTAGGCCTGTGACACGGACAAGTCCTGGTTTTTCTCATCTGTAAAACAAGAACAATACTTCTACTGCCTGTCTCACGAGGACGTTTTGAGGACCAAATGACACAACAGATGCAAAGTATTTTATAACATGAAATCATTGTTACTCAAACCAAAGGAAGGAAAGCCCCTGAAAAAAGGAGCAAACTGGAAACAAGAAGATGCGAACTGCTCTTCTGACACATGAGTCTTTATTGGATGCAGCACGAGTTGCTCTTGGCTCAGCTTCCTGCAAATAAGCAGAACTCCCAAAACAAGTCTTAGGTTTACCTGACTTTGCCCTGGGGGCTCCCACAGGGGCCAGGGTCTCCCTTAGGGTCAGCATGGCATCTCTCTGGCAGGGCATCCCTCTGCCAGATTCAGAAGCCAGGACATTTCTTCTAGGGGAGAGAGGGGAGGAAGCCCATAAACCCTGAATGGCAAACGGATCAGTGTCTATTTGCCAAGTTGTAGTTATGGGGCCAAAGATGGAGCTCTCAAACATCTAGAAGCAAGGGAATACTGCTAAACATTGTGCCCATTAGCATAGGGGCAGAGTAGGCCGCAGACTCACAGTTCTCAAACAGAACTGGAAATAAGACGAGGTCTACGTACAATCGCTGACTACATTCCTCTGGTCCCACCACACTTCTGTCTTCCTCCCACTGAGTTTCTGAATAGGATTAAGTCGTGTGGACCCAAAACAAAACGGACTGTATCTGAAGCAGTGTTTCTCAAAATAAGGAAATCCCAAAGACGTGATTCTGTACTCGCTCCTGCAAAGCACCAAATGGTTTGGTGCTGGCAGCAAACATCTGAATATAGGAACTGGATGAAACGGTCTGCCACGCCCTTCTTCTTCCTAGTCTTTAAAGTTCTTCCGTTGTGTGAGAGGATGACTATGGTATTTTCAATAGCTACTTGAGGGTTAAACGAATTTGATAATACTACAGTGGTAGTTGAGGAGCCAACCAACAAGTCATTTCTTAGGTGGGAGGTGTGGGTCAAAAGAAAAAAACAACAACATAGTTTTATGAGCCTATAGACGATAATTTGGAAATAAACGTAAACAGTGACAGAACTGTCACTCCATCGAGCCAGAGGCTTCCAGGTCACATGTAAGCAAACTGGAAAGCACAGGGAAAGTCAGAGCTCCTTCCTGGAAGGTAAAGTAGATTTGTTTACCTATTTGCAAAGTGCCACACTCTACTAGTGTTACATTGTAGAGTTGGACAGTGGCTTAGGCCACAACCAAAGGACCCAAATGTCCTCTCCCCTGCCCCCCTGCCCCCTGAGCACCTTCATTTTCTTGGCATGAAGCTTCTCCTCTTTCAGGTGCTCACGGAGGATCTCCCGGTGGTTGACCTCCTGCTCCTGAGCAAACTCACAGAGCGTGTAGCTTCTCACAGAATTGTGGCGCTGGGCCATGCCCAGAGAACTCCCGCCTTGGCTGGGCACGCTGGTGAAGCCCTGGCGCCTGGCAAAGTAGTACACTGTCACCTGATCGAAGCGCACATTCTTCCTCCGGAGTTGTTTCTGCCGCTTCAGGATAGATGTGGCTGAGGGGAAAGGAGAGGGCACACTGCAATCGACCGAGAACCTGAGTGACATCATTAATGTAGCGCCCAGCCTTTCCTTAGTAGTTCCCACCTCATCTCTTGGGGTACTGTTTAAGGTGATCACTTATTCACTAACCCTCTCAATTCTTCTTTCTCCATTCCCAAACTTGAGGAATACAATGTTTAAAAGACATAAACGGTCAATTAAAAAATGAAAAATACATTGTCAAGAGTGACTTAAAACTGTTCAATTTCTAATAATTATATAAAAGCAACTTTAAGCTAATACCTCATTTCTATAAAATTTTTGGGGAAAAAAAAGTAAACAAAGATAGGAAGTAGACATACATTATACTGTATAATTGTAAATTGGGGCAAGTTTTTGGGGGAGCAATCTGGCAATTCTGGCAAGCTACAAAAGCTACCATTTCACCTAAAGATCTTAATGTAGGATTATATCCTGCAAATGTAATTAAAAAGGTAGAAACTTATCATTTCTAGTACTTTTGACTAAGATCAAGTTACTAAAAGGAAAAATAAATCCCTGCAAAAGCATTCATATCTTTGTTTGTAATACAAAAAAAAATACAATCAATATGTCTAATGATTAGTAGTGGCTAAATAAATCACATTGTTGTTGGTCAGTCGTTTCAGTTGTGTGACCCTATTTGGGGTTTTCTTGGCAAAGATATTGGGGTGGTTTGCCATTTCCTTCTCCTGCTCGTTTTACAGATGAGGAAACTGAGGCAAACATGGCAAAGTGATTTGTCCAGGGTCACACAGCTAGTAAGTGTCTGAGGCCAGATTTGACCTCAGGCTTTCCTGACTCCAGGCCTGGCACTCTATCCATTATGCCACCTAGCTATCTCAAATAAATTGTAGTTTATCAATATAATAAATGTCGAATCATAAAATGGCAAATGTAAAACGCTAAAAAAAACATAAAAACTTAAGCAACAGAAGTTTTAAGTACACAAAATGTTGTGAAGGGATCACAGAATACATAAGTTGTTATAATTTTCTTTCATCAAAATTTAACTTTTGTGAAGATCCCATTCCATTGGCCTACTTGCAGCAAAGGTTTGCAAAAGCTATCCCAAAAGAATTCAAGTTCCATAAAGTCCTGCATCAAGCTGAACAACCTTCAAGTACAGGCTCAGTACTATTCTGTGTCTTACCCTAGCCAAATTTAGAGAGGCTCTTCACCAGAAGTTTTGTCAACAGTCACTTAAGGTCATCTACTGTAGCTAAGACAAGGTGCTACTTGTGTAGGGGGAGGAGAGAACTGCATTGACAAAACTGTCAATCTTTAAAGTATCAAAACCTAAATAGCTTTTACCATTTTATTTGGGATATTATTCTGTGTACTGTTTGTATCTGTTGAAACTGTTTTTGAAATCATTATATTTTTTTAAAGTGAGGCCTGGATAATAAACAAGGGACTCTGTAATTCTATAAGTCACTCAGATATCACTTACATCTTGGTACGGTTGCAGATTCCCAGAAACACTCTGTGAATCCTGGAGTTCCACACACCATGGTGTGAGTAAAACAAACAGAAGCAGTTATCCTGAGCCTAAGAAATCTGAGCAATTAAATGGTCCTAGGAGAGACTGTACAACAAAAAAGTAGGAAGGCCTGAAAAGTGCTCTCTCTCTCATCAAATTACTTTGCATTCATTCTGTGTATGGGCTGTACATCACCCTTCATTAGAATGTCAGCTCCTAAAGGGCAAGAACGATTTCATTTTTGTCTCCTCAGAACTGAGTACAGGATCTTGTACACAGGGCCGGATGTCTGTGGAACTGAACTGAAGCTAAGCAGAGGCAGCTCTTCCAAAGGCCCACAAAATGCTGAGAACTACATCACATGCCCCTGGTTCTAGGGCGCAGGGACAGTTTAGGTACAAAGAAGGGACAGCCCACTCACGTGTGAAGCCAGCAGTGCTAGGAGGGTTAAGGCTGTCACAGCTGTCAGCACTGTCACTGCTAGAGATCTCATCATCTGAGTTAGAAATGGAAGAGCCCACATCCACATCTTCAAACTTCCTCTTGAGACTCGAGCTCGTGAATGCATCCATTGGTCTTGAAGGGACTTCCTTGAGGAGTCCACTATAAAGGCCCCAAAGCCCCCATTCACCACCAGCTAGACAGGCTCATGAGGATTCTGCTTGGAAAGAAAGGAGGGGGAGAGACAGGTATTACTATCATCCCTGTTATGAAACCCCAGCCATAGATCAGAGTCCCTGTCCTTTCCCAAAATGAATAAATGGCTTAAAGCCCCTAAATGGACAGGGCCTAGAATCTGACTTAAACCAGTCTAAGATGGCTCCATTGATTATCAAACCCCCTTCAACTCCTGTTTCTTTCCATCACATATGGGGCTAACACACATCTACCTTCTCTATACAATCTGAATCTGGTCTCCAAAGATCAGGCCATTTCCTTGTTGTTTCTCTCTAACATTCCACGTGATTTCCTGATTTTATGTTTTTCCTCAGCCCCCAGAGCCTCATATATTTTGCCTTATGGAAAATATTGGAATGGGAACAGAGACACAGAACAGGTTGACCACTTTGTCCTAATCACATCAACAGGACAGACTACTTCATAAATACATCAGCACACCACGAAGACTGTCTGAGTCAGTCATCTCCATAGCAGAAATCTTTTACAATACTCCTTGAGTACCAGCACCCAACCCCTAGCAAAGGGAAGGCCCATGATCACCTATCAGTCGTAGGATTTTGAAGGACCAGAATTCAAGCCACAGCCCTTTAGAAATGACAGAAGTGGCTTCTCCCTAAATACAAAGTTGAGGGCCTCTACTCTTTGGCTTTCAGAATTAGAAATTTTGTCAGGTTTTTTTTTTTTCAAGTCAGATACCCCACCCTTTCTGGGTCAGCACTACATGTGATAGTATAAGACAAAGCCAGAAATAGACTTGGTCTAGCCCTCATTTGTCCCTGAATATTTCCCAGGAGACTTTTTAGGCTCTCAATTCCCTGGGATGCCACTAGCCACAAAGGATCTTTCCTTAGTCTGATCAGGACTATTCTTACTAGGTTCCCCTGTGAGGATCAAGACGGACAATGTCTAGGCATTAAAGAGAGGAATAAGATTAGTGCCTGTTTCACCTCTTCTCTATTCAGATAACTATTGTTGTTCAGCTGTGTCCCACACTCTTCTTGACCCCATTTGGGGTTTTCTTGGAAAAGATACTGGAGTGGTTTGCCATTTCTTTCTCCAGCTCATTTCACAGATAAGGAAGCTGAGGCAAACAGGGTTAAGTGACTTGCACAGAGTCACACAGCAACTAAGCTCTGAGGCTAGATGTGAACTCACAAAGAGTCGTCTTTACTCCAGGCCCAGCACTTTATCCACCATGCCATCCAGCTGCACAATGCAGATAACTACCAGAGCTATACAACCAGCCCTAGTCCTTCTCCCGAGTTACTACAGTCTTGTATCAATAGCTGCCCTTTCAAAGGGACATTTCAAACTGGATACAGGCATGTCAAAATTAGCATGTCCAGAACAGAATTAGATCCCTTTTCCCTCTAATTCATCCTTTTCATAAACACTCCTATTTTTGCATTATCATCATCATTCCATTCTTCTCTTGCATCTTTCCTCATCTCTCTACTCACACAGACCCCATCACCCCTATGCTACTGCTATATAGGTACCTCACTTCATCTCTTCCCCACTCCAATCCATCCTCCAGAAGGGGTCAAAGTGATTTTCCTCAAGCACAGGTCAGACCACGTCACTCCCCTCCTCAAGAAACTTCAACTGTCGTTTCAAATACAAACTCTTCTGTGCAGGATTTCAACCTTGTCCCAACCCTTTCAAGCCCTTTATACACATTACTACCCAGCCAAACTGCTCCTGTGACTTTTCCTCCTGCTCCATCTGCCATCTCAGTGCCTTGGTACAGGCCTTTCCTGATCTACGACTGCTGGTCATGCCCCAGTTCCACCAGTTTCTGTACATCAACGTCCTCTTCCCTGATGGGATGGAAGCTCCTGGCGGGCAGGGACTCTTACTTTGGCCACCGTTATCTGCCCGTATCTAAGAGGAAGAGCTTGGTAAATGCTTGTTGATTATGACAATTATCACCTGTCCACAAAACTCAGCCTCACATCCTTTGAGACATAGAAAGAAATGGCATGGGAAAAGAAACACATCAAAAAGAGGTGAAACCATTTTGTTCTGAGCAGATTATCTCATAAGCACACAGGCACATGACAGAAGAGTTTGTCTGCAGCAGCCACCTCCAGAGCACAAATAATTTTCCTTTTCTACCTTTGGATTTCAATTTCCTGGAAGATGGGAGTTTGTTTCACAGAGCCTAGGAACAGGTTCTCTTCCTTTGAGTCAGTAATGCCCAAATTGCCCAGACTATGATCTCACTAGTTGCTAATTATGCATCAAGAATAACAACACTGCCCAGAAAGACTGGGCTGCATGACTGCAGAGCAGCTCCTCAACACAGACTGGGATGTGAGGGATCCCTGCTGAGGGGCTGCAGATGACCCTACCACCCAACACCAAAGCGCAAATGGAAGTTTCTGAGGAAAAGAAGAAATGCTGTGCTTGGTTTCTCTCAACCGCCTGCACATATTTTCCTACACAGACAGGGACTAGCTTAAACATTCAGCTAGCTTTGCTTGCTACATTCTATATGGGAAGAAGGCTTCGGAGAGTGCTTATTATGGTTTGATCAGCCCTCATCAAAATTCCACATGCTATCTTATGAGGACTTGAGCCATAAATATATGTAGATCTCAATCAGGAACCCTCAGCAACAATACATCTCAGGTACGCTAATAAAATCAGCATATACCTAAAGAAATTAGACTAGGAGGAAAAAAAAATTAGGCTTCCGATAAGTAAGAATTTTAAGTGAAATGAAAGTATAGCCCACTGTCCTACTAACTGTTCTTCAGATTTCGGATGTCACCAGATCTATCAATGCTAAGACACAGGAAAGAATAAATGAGCTCAGCAAAATTTCAGCTCGTAGACTGGTCAGAAGGACTCACTTCAAATCCAAGTTCTGCCACTTATGACCTATATGACCTTGGGCAATTCACTCAACCCCCTTATGCCTCCATTTCATCAACTATAAAATAAGGGACTCAGAGGTCCTTTTCAGATCTAATTCTGAGATCTATCATAGGATAGCTCTGAATCTACCTCAAGCATCTCTTTCCACTTTACCACCAACAGTACACTAAAAACCCCACATTCAAAGCATGCATGAAAATATGAGGATGAGAGAAGAAAAAATACCATCTGAATCTAATCATATTTCCTTTCCTACTACATTCAATAAATCAATATAATGTCTGCCATGAGAGAAACCAAACTAAAATGGAAACCCCCACTTTCTCAGATAGGGTTTAAACAGCAGCCTCAGTCTCAGCCAGCTCTGCTGGGTGTTGCAATTAGGAGAGTGCTCTTTTCCTACATTCGGTGTGCTTACAGACACAGGCTCAAAAAACAGCTTATGGGACGACTTCTGAATTCTACATAATCCCCAATAACCTTCCAGCGTCTTAGCCCACACACCCTTGTGGTTCTCCTCTCTTTGGGTCATTTTTTATCTAGACTGGGACCAGCAGCCATTGTTGGGAAGCAGTTCCTGTTCCCCTTCCCCTTGCCAGTACTCTTCCTTTTTGTCACACACTTCTGGTGTAAGGTGTTCTGAGCCAATGACAGTAGGAACTTTAGAGAGGAGTAACAACATTTCAACTTGAAAATGCCCTGAGAATGAAACAATATGCAAATTAAATGTTGGTACGTTTAACTATTTCATACACCTAGGTGGAAGTATTTGGTAAAATTCTAAATACTGCTGCTCTAAATCCTTTTATCTTAACCTATTAGCTAACCCGAAAGACTTGTCTATCCTAGACCAAAACCAGTTGCAACCTTAATTCTGAACTCACTTGACCTGTCTTTTTTCACTAAATCTTTTCAATCCAAATATCTCAGAGGTTGACAACACTTTTACAACAACCTGACATGACTGGTCTTTTCGATATTTGGCAAAGAAAGGGTCTCAACTCTCCTTTCACCTCACCAAATTCATCTTTCAAACCTCACGTGGAAATCCATCTCTCTGGAAGCAGTTTCCCCTTGCCTTCTTCGGACATACAAATACTAATTCAATTACCCAAATAAATCAGGGTACTATTTGGAAACAAATTTCAATTACAACACCAGGGATCAGATCTATTAGTCTGTTAAAATACCAAAAAGATCAAATCCCGAAACACGTAATGATTGTGGAGAAAATAAAAGTCTTCACAGGAACTTTCAAATATCAGACTAAAGGGCAACTGGCATAAATGCTGTCGCTCTCTACGTTGCATTTTAAAGGTCCTTTCATGACAAATATTCCCACCAGCCTATAATTACCAAAGTTGTATGAAATAGCACAGGTTGAGATTTGAAAGAAGCCATAGTAAATAAAAATAGGGTTTCATCATGCCTGAATTTTAATAAAGACTAGACATATAAAAAGGACTATACTTTTTCAGGCTTCTGAAGCTTACTCCTACCACCAAGTATATGACGATTTGTGAGAGATGGGGTGCTTAGGAAAATTTTTTTGGGGTAACAAATGTATATTTAAAGATGATGTGTGAGTCTGTCTTTAAGAAAATTAAAATAATCAGCAAAATGAAGCGTTTGACCCATTTCTGTGCTACAAAGCCCTCAAGAATTTTCTTCTCGTTAAGACTCAGTGTTAAAAGGGGAAAGTTGTTCCTTGTAGGATAAAGTCTCTGGATAGTGATGAGCTTTCAGTTAAAGTTCATGGAACGAGAGCCCTTTTTCCAGCTGGAATTAGAGGTAGGGTGGCTCTCTTTAACCACTATGATGATCTTGAAGATTACCTGTATCTCCGGTTCAAGGATGTTCAGAGATTCAGATCCAGAAAAATCTTAAGTCGCTGACAGAGCCAGAAAGGCCATCTAGTCTTTTATTTTACAGATAAGGAAACTGAGGCCCAGAGAGCCAGGACAACTAGCTGTTTTCTACTTGACGTGAAGGTCCCAAACAATGGAGTCATTCCTGACCAGATCTCTTCTTAAACACCTAGGATTCATCATCAAGGTTAGTGGCATTGCACTGGATGCCCAAATCCTTTCTCTTCCCTTTGCCTAAACTGGGCATTTGAATGTGAACCATCTATTCTCATTCCTTCCAATTTTCCAAAATGAAATCCTTTTGCAAATAATCAAAGTTGGAACTAACGTATCTCTCAAACTGCTAGCCTGCGCTTATAAGCCTAGATTCTTTGTGAGAAAGTTGAGGACGACTCCTGCAGAAACCATTAAACCCTAAAGGCCAACTCTTAACTATGGCACCAAACAACAGTCTAGCTCTGAGGCCTTGCAAGATGGGCAACTAGGAAAGAGGAGGGAAGTCGAAGTCAACTGTGGTTTTAACTTGACCTAACTAACAATTACAGGACAAAGGCTGTGCTTTTCATGAGGATAACTTCCACAGCTCATTTATGAAACTGGTATTCTTACAAGTCATAAAAAAAAAAAGGACAAGAGAACTCAATGGACACAAATGGAATAATGAGAACCTTGATGAAGGAGGAAAGGGGGTAAAGATTATGTTAACAACCAGGTCACTTGATGTTACCTAAAAACTAGGAAAATGAATACTGCAACTTTACCTGGAAGCATATTTCAGTACATTCCAGGAAAACGTAACTCTCCAGAGCTTAGCACAGTGCCTGGCACACAGCACGGAGGCATTTCATAAATGCTAGTTGACTGATGGACACTGGCCTCAATGGGCATTCCAATGACCCCTTCACCTTCTTGCTCATTCTAACACCTCACTCCCCGACACCTTCTGGTGCCCCCCACTCCCCAACTGCCTGCCCATCTCCCCACACTGCACCCTGGGCTGGGCCCCTCGATTCCACCCCACTCCCTCCTCTGGGCCGAGCCGGACTGTACCAGCCCCCACGTCCGGGGCCCGTGTCCTCCCAGCCCGCAGGACCCTCCAGCCGCCACTCCACGCCCGCGGACCCCTACCTGCCCTCCCACCACACCCACCTCCCGCCCGCCGGCCCCGCCCCCTCCCCCGGCTCCCGCTCTCGCGTCCGGCGGACGCTCGCCCGCTCCTCCCCGCAGCCCCCCCGGCCCATTACCGGCCCGACCCCGCCCGCCGCCGCCTCCACTTCCCGCGAAGGTCTCCGCCGCCCCCGCTGCCGCCGCCGCCCAGGCCCGGGATGGGGAGGGAGGGAGGGAAGGGGAGGCGAGCCCCAGGAGCCGTGGCCACGGGTCCGGGAGCTCCGAGGGCGGCGGGGAAGGAAGGGAGGGAGGGAGGGCGGGCCGGCCGGCCGGCGGCGGGGAGCGGGCGGCTCCTGCTCCCTCGGCTGCTAGCGCCCAGAACCGCCCCGGCTCCGACTAACAATAGGCTGCAGCCGCTGCGCCCCAGCTCTTATAGGAGCCTGCACGTCCCGCCGAGCCCCGGGGCAGGCTGGGAGATGCAGTCCGCTCCAAGGCTCCTGGGGCCTGGAATGCTGGGAGTTGGAGTCTGCAAAAGGTGCAGCCTAGTCACAAAACATAAAGGAAGGAGTTTCGGAAATAGAGTCTAAACCGCAGGGGGTTCTGGGAAAACGAGTTTGCTGTGGCTGCAGGCTTTTCAGAAGAGGCAGCCTCAGTCCTTATAATCTTCAAGTTGGAACTTAGTCACATAGAGCCCGGCCTCTACCCCAAGTAGGATGCCCGTCTACATCTCATACAAATGGTCTCCAGTATCCACTTGAACTTAAGTAATGGAGGCGCCCGTTTGGACGGATGTAGTTGTCCACTTCCTTACCATTCCCATCTATTGCCTCCAGGGGCAAGAAGAAACCTAATCTCTCTCCCACATGACAACCCCTCAAATTTGAAGAGAATTATCTTTTTCCCTAAATAGTCTTTCCTCTAGGCTTAAATATTATGGCTTCAAGCCCCTTGAGCAGCTCTATAACACACCTCTGGACACACCCCAGCTACCTTCTAAAATGTGACATCCTGGTCACAGTACTTCAGCTGGTGTCTTATCAGGAAGCGGTACGGTAGGACAATTACCTCTTAGGTCGTCAACACCACTAAGGAAGTTGAAGATAGTATTGTCGGCTTTGGCTGCCAAACATGTTGCTGAATCCTATTGAGCTTGAAATCCATCAAAACTCCTGGGTCTTTCCCACCTTGTTTTCTACTATCTCTTCCCATCTTGTACTTTGGGTTCAAAAATTCAGCTGCACCAACTGCCAAGCTTTATACTTATCCTTATTCTACTGGCCAGATTCTCCCATCCAATACATTAGCTATGCTTCTGAGCTTCACATCTTCCCCAGATGTGATAAGCACACTCTAATCCAAGTCACTGAGAACCCGCTGAACTAAATTATACTATCATCCAGTCTATATATCTCTCCATCGGGTACACAAATGCTTTACTTTGATAATCATTCATTCTAAAAAGGGCCGTTTATCACTATATTCTTAATGGATCCAAGATGACTCATTCTGATTTTTTTTTGCTTTTTTGGTTAGGCAATTGGGGTTAAGTGACTTGCCCAGGGTCACACAGCTAGTAAATGTCATGTGTCTGAGACTGGATGTCCTCTTAACTCCAAGGCCAGAGTTCTATCCACTTCGCCACCTAGCTGCCCCCTTTTCTGATGATTTCTTAACCAAGTATTCACAATAGGTCCCCTTTTAACCTGTTTTACAATTTTGATCAAGAATTGGAAATGTGGCTCACTAGTCTGTCATTTGAACTACTTACCTTCTTCGCAACTTGGAAAATCAGGATATTTGCTTACTCTAACACCTGCTATCACAACTCTTCAAAACTTCAGCAATGAAATCCACAAATTCTTTCAGAACCCGAAAATATAGTTCATCTAGGCTAGGTGACGAATTCACTGAGAGAAGCTAGGTGCTCTTAATCAGTCTAATTTATTTTGAGTTTTAATTCCACTAAACATCTTCCCTTATAATGTCTTAAGACCATTCTCTTTGGTACAAAAAACAAAAACAATTTAGTAGTTGATTATGTCTATTGACCTCAAGTAGAATGCTATTCCTTCCTTGATTCCCCCCATTCCCAACCTAGCTTAAAAAACAAAAAGACAGAACCCTTTTTGTTCTTTACATTTATTTCAAGCTTCAATTTGTAGTTTTAGTTTTTCTGACATTGTTATGGGACTCTGCCACCTTCTGAATTCATCCTGTTACCTGCCTTTGCTTCCATCTCTTAAAACTTCAAATTCACTGAAAGCTCCCTTTCCATCCACATGAGTTTCTCTGGACACTTCCTCTTGATCAGAATCATCTGATGCTAAATTGCCAAAATTTTGTTCTTGAGTGTTTCCCATCCCAAGCACCAAGTGCTCTTTTGGAGTATCATTTCATGCCATGGAATCCTACCTATCCCAGCGCTGAACTCTTTAAAAAATCAGCTCTCCTAAAGCACATAACAGACAATGACCAACATTCTCTTCCTTAGTTACCACAAGTGACAAGATGGCACACTCACTGCCTCCCCTCCTACGTTTCCAGTCATTTCCACTTCATCTAGATCTTTACTGGTCAGAATTAGGTCCAGAATGGTAGCTCCTCTCATAAATATCACAGCTTTACGAAAACAAAATTACCAGAAAGGAAAAATGTTCTGCTTTTAGCACATTTCAAAGTCCTCTTTGTTATTTTTTAATCTAAGGGCAATATACAATAACAGATGTGAAAACAAATGAAATAAAGGTTATTATGTTCTAAGCAACTTGGGGGGAAAAGTTAAGGAACCACAGTGATTTTTTAATTCTACTTACCAATAAGACAAGGTTTAAGTATATGGCATGAACATGACTGGTGCCATTTCTGACCCCGACCTTAGTAACTTAATGGAACCACTATTCTACCAATTAACTAAATATGGAATCCCAATCATCTGATTTTTCCTTTTTTAGCTCTTATCAAATCAGCTGCCAAATCCTATCACTATCTCTTGCATTTATCACCTCTTTCCAAGGCGGGCCTTTATTTCAGTTTAGGCACTCAATATTGCTTACCTAGACTACTCTGATAGTCTTTAGCTGGTCTTCCTGATTATAGATTTGGATCTTCTCTAATCTAATTTTGTACATAGATGTCATCCCTTTCTTGTTACCTTCAACAATTTCTAATGCCTATCATGAAGTAATTGTAAACTGCTTAGCACAGTGCTTGGCACACAGAAGGCACTAAGTAAATGTTAGCTACTGTTATTACTATTAGTACTGAAGAAAGTTCAAATGCCTTAGCTTGACATTCAGGACTTACACAGGAGGGTAGGACTATTTTATCTCTCTAGTGCCCTTTACATATTCCACACTTCATTTGAAATGCATTTGCTATTCCCTAAACACAAATTGCCCACATCACATTGTACTCAATGTCCCCTCCTCACATTGGGTTTTTACTGAAATCCTATTAATCCCCCATGCCACATCCTCTATAAAGCCTTCTTTCATCTCCTCTATGAACTCTGATGGCACTCTGTGTGCACCTCTATTATGCACTACTTTAGGATTAGTCTTTGGTGTATGTCACTACTAGACACTGAATTTCCAGAGAATAGAAACTGTTTTTTTTTTCATCTTTGTATTCTCACAGAACTTAACACAGCGCTTTGCATATGAATTAAAGAGCATTTATTTAGCACTTATGGAGTACCAAGCACTGTGCTAAGGGCCAGAGTACAAGAAAAAAGTGACAAGGTCCTTGCTCTCAGGGAGCTCACACTCTAATTGGGGGAGACAATACAAAGAAAGTTCAGTTGAAGGCTCAGAAGTTCTGAAGTTGTAGAAAAGGGACAGCTGGCAAGGCCCAAGAATCCTTATGTTAACTTTAAGGTCAGTAGGTCACAGGTTCAATGGCTGCTGAATTAATGGATGAAACTAATAAAAACAATCTAGGAAAAAGGAGTTTATATCACCACACATTTAAAATGGAGACAGGCAAAAAAAAATCACTTGGAGAAACCATACTAAATGGCCTATAGAGAGACATAAAATCCAGTTAAGAGTATGAAAGACAGGAAGATGGGGCTGGAGGGATCAGGGAAGAGGGGTTCAGGTGACTGAAGAAAAGGTAAAACAAAATTATATGGAGAATCTTGAGGAAAAAACTTTAGACTTAAATGAAAAATCAAAAGTTAGTTCCTAGGGAAAATAGGTGTTTTACATGAGGCACATGTACCTTACTCTAAGCCAAGAATTAACGTGGAGTTTGTAAACTTGCTTTTAAAATGTATTTTGATAGCTATATTTCAATACAATTGCAATCCTACGTCTTTTATTTTATGTATTTTAAAACATTATTGAGAAAGGACCTATAGGATTTACCAGACTGGCAAAAGGGTCCAAGACACAAATAGAACTAGGATTCCCTACTCTAAGCCAAACAAAATACAGATTTACACAAGTTAAAAATTAGAATGATTGTTAGAATTTAAATATCAATTTTTGGTGAAATTACACAAATTAAATATATATGTAACTTAAGGAATATGTTTGTGGGAGAAGCAACTGTGGCCTAGTGGATAAAGAGCAGCTGAGTCAGAAAGATCTGGGTTTAAATCCTGCCTGACCCATACTGGCAGTGTGACTGGGCAAATCATTTAACTTTTCAGTCCCCCTAGGCAACTATGTAAGGCTGTAAATTACAGAGCAGGTACTGATCTGCATGGGTCCACGAATTTTCCCTACAGGGATGAATGGACTCACAGATCCATCTCCCTCTCCCCACCCTACCAAATAAATCTCCTGAATAAATCTATATTCATTGTCAGAGGAAAAAAAATGAACAAATGAGTATTAGGCTAAAAGAATTATTCAGGAAATGGAATGAAAAACTAAGATAAAATGATACATGGTAATACAACAGAGATCTTATATAATCAGGAAATTTAGACGTTTAAAGATAAGATGGGGGAAGGAAAAGGAATGAAGAAAGGAAGGAAACTTCAAGGTAAACATTAAAAATAAAAAATAAAACCATGAAAATAAACAGTAGGAAAAACAAGATAAATGACATTTCACAGGGAAGTCAATATGTTGTTGGAGCCACTTTCGGTTTTGGCAAAGAACAAACACACTCGAGTCTCTCTGCACCAACCTCAAACACAGTATTCTAGGTCCTTCCTCATTTAATCTCTGGAGTTTGGGTAATAAAACCAAGCTCTGTTTATACTACTATAATGAAAATAAACCTTTTTGCAGAGGTCTTACTAAGCAATTCAGGAACTACATCAACTACCAAAAGGATAAGTGGAAAAATTACATAATGCTTATTTTACGTGAATTAGAGCATAGATTCTATATAAATTAGAGCAAACATAGGTGGGGCATTTGCCCACGTTCTATTGCTATCAACAGAGAGAGTTCCTAACAGTCTAGGAAATAACAATGATGAAATTTCTAGAGAAGCCCCAAGGCCAAGGAACCCGAAAATAAAGAATAAAAAATAATGAAACCCACTTTGCAGGAACTGGGCTCTTTTTAGCTCTTCATTCACAAACCAAACACCACCACCTGGAATTGTTAAATACTTGCTGGAATGGGGGCAGCTAGGTGGCACAGTGGATAGAGCACCAGCACTGAAGTCAGGAGGACCTGAGTTCAAATCCAGCCTCAGACCAAACACTTGACACGTACTAGCTGTGTGACCCTGGGCAAGTCACTTAACCCCAATTGCCTAAAAATTAAAAAAAAAAATACTTGCTGGAAGGGGAAAGCTAAAGCAGGGAAGAAGTAAACTTAGTGTCTCTTAAATTCTCTTTAAAAGTAAAAATGAAAAATTCAGTTCTTCATGGTGATATAATTTCAGGTTGTTTGTAAGAGAGGCACTGCTGCTTTTCCACAGTAAAACTTTATCAGACTAATTATAGGTCCAAAGAAAGGAGTTTGTGGAACACTGGTCTTCATCTATCATATCAAACCAAAAATGGGTAATATGAATAGCGAAATCCTCGCTTGCCCCCTGCCCACTTACCCCATTGCTACAGAAAGCACTATGATTCTGCCCATCCCTTTGGTTTGAACCATTAAGGTGACAATGGCTATCACCTGGCTCCATCTCCTCAGACTTTACTCTCAGTCCTTACCCAAACATGTCATTTCTCATTTGATCTGCTACAATCTCTGTTGGCAGTATCCACCACCTTCACATCTTATCAGCTCCTTCTCTCCATTATCAATTCCACCTAAAATCCAGATGTAAAAATGATCTGCACTGTGAACCTAGAAAGTATTGAGATTGGCTTGGTTGTGTGGGTTGTAAAAGGACTCTCATTGCTTTGTATTTGGCCCTGGTACAGCTATCATTTTCTCTTCCTCAGAACTTTGAATTTGACACCTGATAAGGATTCAAGTCTGTATTCTGCATGGTACAGATACTCTTCTGGAATTAGATTATTCATTTTTCAAAGGACTGTTATAGGCAGTGCTTAAATCAAGCAAGTTGTGACTTTTTTTTTTTGCGGGGGGGGGGGGAGAAGAGGAGAGTAGAGCCAGATGGCTATCATACATCTTTATTTCTTCAATTTCAGTGAAACAAAAACTAATTACTTTCTTTTAAATCTCATTTCAGGCACTTATTGTAGGTTTCATCATTATACCAATCCTTTTCAGACTTGACACAAAAGAGGCCTGATAAGTTTTCTTGGCAATAAAAACAGCCTACTAGTAAATCTGAGGGCCTCACCTTAGGAGACACAAATGCATGTTCACTGCTGGGACTTTGAATACTTCTCTCAAAAAACTGTGGCAATTAGCATAATCTATGAAAACTGTATCATGGGCTGACATAGGAAGAAGTGGGACCAACGCTGGGGAACCAACTTGAGCATGTGGCGTAACTGTGACTACGCCCAGAAAATGAGGACATCTGACTGAAAATCCTCTAAAAGGCATGTCAGGTTGCTTTAGTCAAAGCCATGTAGAAGTTACCAAGAAACTATTTTAAATCTTCTACCTGACAGATTTTCAATTTGCTTTAAACCAAAAGGAATTAGACTACATTGCAGGATAACTTTAGTGGACAAAAATTTCCTTTGTATAAAAACCAATTAAGCTTTATCAAGTGCTTAAAAAAAAATCCAAACCCATACACAATCTTTGAACATTGTCTTCTTCAGCCCTAACTCATTCTGTAAAGGGAATTCTTGACAGTCTATAAGTAAAACATGACAGGAATACCCATAGTCACAAACACAATCATTTTTCAAGTAGAACAAAAACATATGGGAAGGGTGTGAATACAAATAGGATCACAGAATTCTAGATTTTAGAGCTAAAAAGGACCTTAGAGATCACCTTATTCACAATCTTTACTTTATAGATGAGGAAAGAGAGGCCTAAAAGGATTAAGTTGCCCAGGATCACAGAGTGAATTAATGCAGAGCTAAGGATTAGAACCCAGGTCTTGACTCCTAGTCTACGGCTCCTTCTACCCACATGGGAAAGACTTTCTTAAAAAGTACCCAAGTTAAGAACACTACAAAAACAAAAGTGCCTCTTACATAAGGAATGAGGACACAGGGTAGAGAGAGAAAAAAGTCCAATCTAGTAAAAAGAAAGGTCTGAGAACTTCAGTGGGAAAAAATTAACTTTGGGAAGTACAGTCAGTGCTCAAATCCTGCCAACTTTATTGTGTAATAGTGCCCCACCTGCAGAAAAGAAAGAGAGAGCGAGAGGAAGCAGTTGTGCTGCGTTCTTCATATCTCTGACCCTACTGAGAGGTCACTTTTGGCAGCTGTCTCCTCAGTCCTCCATGTAAACTCACATTTCAACACAGCAATGCAGGATCACCATGTGGTGTCAAGAGGGTAATGGCAGGATATACAGCGCATGGGAAAAAATTTTTTTCCCCTACCATTCTGCTTTCCAGGAGCAAATACGCAGCAGTGAAAGCAGAGACTGCAGGTATGTCATGGGGGAGTTGGTTGGTGGGTAGTCTAAAGAATATAGAGATTCATTTTTATTTATATATTAGAAAAAAAATTACATAGCTCCAGATTACCATAAAGTTTAACGTCTTTCAATTAAACATCACACAATTCCCATCATCATTATGCCCTACATAAAACCTAAATGATGTGACAAAAGCTTCTATCAATATTCAACAACAACACAGTCCAGAAATTGTAACTAAGAAATAGCTGCAGAACTGCATGCCTGACAGGAAACTGTGTGTGGCAAGAGGGTTGGGACAGGGAACAGAGAGCTGGGATTCCACCTCTGGAGTGTAGCACCACCCCACCTCCCACTCTCCATCAGTCAGGCTCCTGCAGACCTCCAACTCTCTATCCATATCCCTCTGCAAGAGGGGGAGTGTCCAAAGGGTGAAGGAAGCAGCAGCTACCCAGCATGGGATGCTCCCCTTCTATTTCAATATGATGTGGTAGCTATCATTGGTTTCAGCTGAAAAAGAAGCAGAAAGATCATTTGTCACCTCCAAAACACAGCAAGGATGGGGAGAAGTGTGACAGGTTCTTAGAAGAGAAAGACCAGAGAAAGAAAGAGGATTTCTCAGCTTTTACACAGAACAATGCACTTGTATCAGAAAAGCAGCGAAAAAGTAATGTGAACATCGGGGGCAGGATGACTGCCTCTAACTAAATAACTATGAGGTAGCTAGTAAACTTTGATAATGACATAAGACAACTTATAATAAATAATAAACTCTTAGAGAGCTTATTTCTTAACCAACATACAGAACTAACACTACTTTCCTTTTCTTCCTCTCAAAGAGACAATGTATGAAAAAAGTCTTGAGTTCCTTAAAGACTGGTAGAGTAGAAGTATGGGTATCATGGTATAGTGGGTAGAAATGCTGAGTGTTAGGAAGATCTGGTTTGAGTGACACACCTCTGACACATACTGGTTGTGTGACTTTAGGCGAGTCACTTAATTTTTTAGTGCCCCAGACAATTTTTAAAGACTGTAACTTGCAGAAGTTGCTGTTCTATTTTGGTAGAGGGAGTGTCCTCATCAGAATACTACAGACGAAATTACAGATCAGACCAAATAAAAACGAAAGTATTTTTATTATTCTATTACCTTTCATTGTGTCCAGAATAAAACAAGCTTCCTCCTGAAAGTTCTGAATCATCTAAAAGAAGCAACAAGACTAAGTGAAAAAAAAATGCTCCAAATCACTAATATAAGAGAATGTAAATTAAAACAACTCTGAGGTACCACCGTGCACCCATCAGATTGGTTAACATGACAGAAAAGGAAAATTACAAATGCTGGAGGGGACACAGAAAAATTGGAATACTAATGCACTGTTGTTGGTGGAGATGTGAACTGGTCCAACCATTCTGGAGAACAATTTGGAACTATGTCCAAAGGACTATAAAACTGTGCATACCCTTTGACCAATCAAGACCACTACCAAGTCTCTCTTCCAAAGAGATGAAAGAAAAGGGAAAAGGACTCATTTGTACAAAAATACTTATAGCAGTTCTTTCTTGTGGTGGCAAAGAATTGGAAAATGAGGGGACCTCTCTCATTTGGGGAATGGCTGAATAAATTACAGTATGTGAATGTGAAAGAATATTATTGTGCTATAAAAAATGATGAAGGTGATGGTTTCACAGAATCCTGAGAAGACCTATATGAAATGATACACAGAGATGAGAGAAGAATCAAGAAAACACTGTACCCAGTAACAGCAATATTGTAACAATGAATCAACTGTGAAAGACTTAGCAACTATGATAAATGCAATGATTAACCACAATTCCAAGGACTCATGATGAAAAATGCTATCCACGTTTAGATACAGAACTTAAAAAGGACTCAGTGTAGACTGAAGCATATTTTTTCCTTTTTCTTTTTGCAACATGATTTATGCAGAAATATGTCTATATGGCTTCATATGTATACTGAACATTGTGTTTCTTGCCTTCTCAAAGGGTGGGGAAGGAGAGAATTTGGAACTTAAAAGCTAAGTAAACTTCTAAAAGCTTAAACAAAATGCTATTAGATCACAAGTACTCTAGCTCAGAGATATTAATCAATCAACAAGCATTTATTAAGCTAATGTGTGAGGGGAGACAGCTAGGTGGCGCAGTGGATAGAACACTGACCCTGGATTCAGGAGGACCTGAGTTCAAATCCGGTCTCAGACACATAACACTTAACTAGCTGTGTGACCCTGGGCAAGTCACTTAACCCCCATTGCCCAACCAAAAAAAAAAAAAGAGAAAGAAAAAAAAAGCTAATGTGTGAGGCACTATGCTGAGTACTGCATATATAAAGATAAGTCAAATAGCCCCTGCCTCAAGGAACTTATATTCTAATTAGAGAGAAAACATGGACACATATGAATATATATAGGATGTATACAAAATGAATACAAGATAGTTTGAGGAGGGAATGTGGTAGCAGCCTGTGGGATCAGGCAGGCTTCATGAAGACGGTGGCACTTGAGCTAAAATCTTGAAGGAAATCAAGTGAGACTGAGAGGTAAGGTAATGAGGGAAGGCATTTGGGAAAACAAGTGCAAAGGCATCAACAGATTGGTGATGAAGCATGTCTTGTAAGCCAAACACTGAGTAGGCTATTGTAGCTAAAACAAAGAGTTAGAGAAGGAGGAGTAAAGTATAAGAAGACTGGAAAGGCAGGAAGGAGCTAGGCTATGAAGAGCTTTAAATGTCAAACAGAGGAGTTTATCCTTGAAGCCACAGGAACCACTGGAGTTTGTCGGGGGTGGTGAGATGATCAGACCTGAGTTATGGGAAAATCACTTTGGCAGCTGTGCAGAGGACGGACTGGAATGGAAAGAGGCTTGACACAGTACACCAAAAACGGAGGCTATTGTTGAAGTCCAGGTGAGAAATGGTGAAGATCTGAATTAGGGTGGTGGCTGTGAGTGGAGAGGAGTGGATATTTGCAGAGATGTTGTAGAGGTAGAAACGACAAGATCTGGCAACTGATTGGCTATGTGGGGTGAAGAGTCTAGGATGACACTGAGGATGCAAATTTAGGTGACTAGAAGGATAGTGTCCTACCCTAGATGAGGAACTCTGGAAAAGGGGTAATTTTTTTTGGGGGGGTAATTAATGTTCCTCTGGACATGTATTTGAGATGCCCAATGGATATTTGGTACTGTCAAACTGGAGCTGAGGAAACTTGGACTAGATATACAGTGACCCAACAATTATTTATTAAACTCTTACTATGTGCCAGATGCTGTAGTAGGGATATTCCAACAGTGGAGACAAGAAGTAAATAACCATGTACATATAAGATACGTAAAGTCTTGAAGGAAATCAAGTGAGACTGAGAGGTAATGAGGGAAGGCATTTGGGAAAACAAGTGCAAAGGCGTGAACAGATTGGTGATGAAGCATGTCTTGTAAGACAAACACTGAGTAGGCCACTGTAGCTAAAACAAAGAGAAGGCACTATCAGCAGAGGGTTCTGAGAAAGGCTTTCTGAAATAATGTGGAATTTTAAGTAATCTTGAAGGAAGAGAGGGATTAGGGAGCCATCTGCACAGGGATAGTCAGCTTTTATAATATTTCAGGTAATGTAAGTCTGCCACTTTAATTCCTCTGCCCTTGAGCAGCCACCAAATGGGGTCTTAAATAGGAAGGATATCCTGCTGAACTCATATTTTTCAAATAGCTAGTCTCTGAAAATCTTCAGAATCATGTGCCCTTTTGCTCGTGTATTTCAAGGGTGTTTGAAGAAGACATTTTAGTTTTAAGCAGAAAAAAGAAAAAAGGAGTTTAACAGAGAATGGTTCCTAGTATATCTGACTGTATTATAAGACACTTTTTTGAATATCAAATTGTTTGACGATAAAGCTCTATTCAGAATTTACCTCATCACTGATGAGCACATGGATTCCCGTCGGCCCCTGTTTGTAGATCTGACTGATCTGACAAGGGGAAATACTGAAAAGCTGAGCGATTTTCTCTGTCAGCTCAACAGCTGTCAATTCTTCCAGATAGATGGCATGGTACACTGAAAAGTGAATGAAAAAATCAGCAGTCAGGGCCAGATTATTCCCTAAGGAAGGATATTCCTGCACAATTAATCAATCAAGAGATCAACTAGCCATTACGATTATTACAAAGACAAAAAACGACACACCCCCTACTCTCCAGGACCTCACATTCTAGAGGGGAAAACAACATGTACATATGTTGGTAAACGTAAGGCAGATACAAAACAGATACAAGGTGATTCAGCAGAAGGCAGCCATGGACAATGGAGTGGGGAGGGAGGGTATTAGGCAAAAGCTTCATGTAGAAGGTAGCACTTGAACTGAGTCTTGAAGGAAATTAAGGATTCTAAAAGGTGGAGGTGTCTTCCAGGCATGAGAGACAGCAAGTGAAAAAGCAGAGAGAAAGGAAATGCAGTGTCATGTATGAAGGACAATAAGAAGGCCAGTTTGACTGGACCATTGAGTGTATGAAAGGAAGTAACGTAAAATTAGAAAAGTGGTCTGGGGCCACGTTGTGAAGGGTTTAAAACGGCAAACAAAGGAGTTTGTATTTGATTCTAGAACGAAGTCTCTAAACACAGACCTACTTTTCTATGAATTCCCACATCTGTCACTTAGTGGATTCCCATCATGTAAACTTGAGTCTCCCTTTCACCTCTCTTTGAATCCATCTTGTTCTCTTCTGAACGACCTACCAAAGAAAGCACCATTTGAGTCTCCATTCTCATGCTTCTGTTCTTGTTGCTGCTGCTGCTGCTGCTGCTGCTCCCTCAACTCCAAAGTTTCCTGGCACACATAAATCGTCAGCCTGGGCCTCACCATCCTAGGGAGGAAGCATCTTGTAAGCTGTAAAGTTCTTAAGGCAGGCACATTTTATGGGACATCAACTTTAAAGATAATAATATATATTTTGTGACCAATAAGACTACTCTGCCTATAGACAAAAGAAACTAAAAATATAAACTCTGACTGCATAAACTGTGGACCAGGCCCAAGATTTGTTTCAGGGCTTTCAGCAGAATAACATTAGGCCACCCTTTATACCATAGCTCAACCTGTTTTCCTTCTGCCCCATACACAGTCTCTTTTTAAGCCAAGTCTTAAAATCCTACTTCTTCCACAAAGTCTTCCCAAACTCAAATACTCTAAAATACACTCATGCTAGTCATGTATTTAGCGCAAACACTTTATTTCCAGTATGTAGTAACTATTTAAATTTTGTTGGCACACCCTGCACGTGTTTCTTGTTATAAGAGTTGTCTATTTTAGAGTATAAGCAGTGAGAGGGCAGGAACTGGGTCTACTGGGTTTCTCCACACAATACCTAGTACACAACAAGAACTTTAAATATTCATCATGGCCTCTGCTCCATTTCATCCATCCCTAAATTACAGTAAAATCTCTCCCACCCCGCCCCCCAGCCAAATCTTCTCTTGATAATAGAATATGGGGCACTATGATAAGGAGTCCACCATAATGAAAAAATTTTTACAAGGTAACTAAGTGCCCCACAGAATACTCTGGACTTCACATCCTAAAGCAAACTAATGTGTGAAACCCAAATTCACTCTAAAACTAATTACATACCGCCCTTTTAAGGCATTAAAGAGTCGGATTCCATCAGCAGGGCCACAAATTTGGATAACATCATCTCTGGTTAACTTCAATAAATCTGCACCTAATAAGAATAAATTAAAAACATGAGGAATACAGCAAGAGTCTGTAATATATACCAACAAGGGCTTTTGAAGAGAATGTTTTTTAAAGATTTGCAAACCTTTAAGTGTTATATAAATATTATTAGCATTTTTACAAAATGAGAAATCTGCACTAGATATCCCAGATCCTTCCAGCTCTAACATTTTATGGATCTAAGATCACTGACTTGGTGGCATGCTCTGTTTTTCCAGATTCACAGCTGTGGATGGTAAAACCAGGTTGGGAAGTAGGTGCTTCTCATCCTCCTGACCATTTAGGGGAAGAAGTCAACGAATAGTATTCCTTTTAGCATTGTCTATTACCTCTGCCATTGTAGTGATATGATGATCACTGGGAGGCTGTTGAATCATGTTTCTTAAAAGTTAACATTTTCCTTCTCATGTTAAAAAGTGAATACAATATGCCTTCCCTTTGACCAAAAGGTCCCACTGCGGAGCAGATATGCCCTCCAGTACTGTGTCTTTGTAGAACTGAGTAGAGATGAGGAGGATGGTTCTAACTGTGCTCATTTTTATCATTTCACTGTCTTGTGTTTCTGTTTTCTTCTGTCATGAAAATGTCTCTGAATATCAAGGCTGCCATATTCTTTTTAATTACTATTTTTTGCTGCGATTTTCTCCATTTGGGTAAAATACATTAGGAACGTTTGAAAAAGGATTTTTCTTTTTTTTTTTTTCAGCCAAAGACAAGGTTTATTAGAACATCTGTCATATTGGGCAGACTCTTAAGGAGTCTGAATATTAGTGCACTATTGGCTAGATTTTAAGAATCTAAGCAGTGGCTAGATTCTAAGAATCTGAGCTTGAAGAAAATTTTTAAGAATAACACTGAATAGAAGATGTCCACATTCTCTTCTTCAAAGCATTACATGAGACAAAATGGCAGAACAGTAGAAAAGTACAATGAGTTCCTCTCACAAAACTCCTCTAAACAGATCTAGGAAACATGCCAGACCCAAATCTTATGGGGAAATGCAAAAACAAAAAGTCACAGTGAATCATTTTTCCTGCTCAGTCAGCACAGGAAGACAAAGAGGTTTGCAGGTCCTGGAGCCAGAATTCAGCAAGGGGAACAGCAGGTACCAGGGTGAGAAGCAGACCCAGGTCCACTCTGGGGCTAAATCCTGAAAAGGAGTGACCAGGACAGGAACCCCAGGCCACAGGGGAGCCTGTGGTTCTGTTTTTGCCTCAGCAGAGCTGCTCACATGGCTGACAGTGGCTAAACTGAAGGCCAATTGTCAGCCATTGCTGGATCAGACGGCTTCAGGAATGCTGTTGGCTGGCAGGTCTCAAGCTTGAGCTGCCCTTGAGATACCAGAATAATAGTCAATGCCTCAAGAAAGTAGCCAACAGGACTGGTCCAGACCTTCCCTCCAGAAGCACAAAGAGCCCAGCCCTAACAAGTCCAAAGGCAGGAAGCAGGCTGGAAGAATGATGGAAAAAAATAAAAGAACTGCACCAAAAAAAAAGCTATTCTGGTGACAGGGACACTTAAGACACAAACCCAAAAGAAAAAAATGATTCCAAAACATTCACAAGGCTTATACTCTTTGACCTGATAATATCATTACTAGGTCTAGGAGATAATAGGAAAAGGACCCATCTGAACAAAAATATTCACAGCAGCTCTTTTTGTGTTGGCAAAGAATTGGAAACTGAGGAGATGCCCTTCAATTAGGGAATGAATAAACAAGCTGTGGCATATGACTGAGAGAATAATAAGGACGGGGGGGACGGTTTCAGAAAAACCTGGGAAGACACATAATTTGATGCAAAGCAAAGTGAGCAGAACCAGTGGAACACTGTAAATGATCAACCGTGAAAGACTTAGCTACTCTGATCAATACAATGATCCATGACAATTCCAAAAGAAGTCACAATGAAAATTGCTATTCATTTCCAGACAGAGAACCGATGGACTTAAGAGTGAAGACCGGAGCATATTTTTTCCTTTATGTTTGTTGCTTCCCCCACCCCTCCACGGAACATGGCTAATGGCCAAATATATTTTGCATGATGTTATATGTATCGTGGGTATGATACTTCTTACCTTATTAATGGGTGGAAGAGTGAGTGGAGGGAGGGAAAAAATTTGAAACTAAAAACAAAAACAAAGTAACAAAAAAAATCAGAAGAAAAAAATATTCATAAGAAATGCCTCAAAGGAAAAACCTCAAAATGCAGCTTGGGCACATATTCAATTTGAATTCCTGAAAGCAATAAAACAAGTGTTAAAAAGAGTTCAAAATGTTTTTATAAATGAAATAATAGCACTAAAGGAAAAAACCTGGAAAATGAGAGCCATGGAAGAAAAACTGGAAAGGGAATTAACAGCACGGTAAAAGCTCAGGTACAAAACCTTGCCCAAGCAACAAACTCCCTAAAAATGAGAATGAACCAAACAGAAGCCAATGACTCCATGACACAACAAGAAATACTAAAATAAAGTCAAAAGACTGAAAATAATAGAAGAAAATGTAAAGTATCTCATAGGAAAACAAATGAAGTAGAAATGAGATTGAGGAGAGAAAATTTAAGGATCATACGACTATTTGAAAGTTGTGACCAAAAAAAAAAAAGAAAAAAAAAGCCCAGACATGTTTTAAGAAATCTCAAAAGGAAACTGTCCAGAATCAGAGAACAAAGTAGAACTAGAAAGAATCTATTGGTCACCTCCCGAAAGAAATCCCAAAATGAAAACTACAAGGACTGTCATCGCCAAAATTCAGAGCTTCCAGGCCAAAGAAAAATACTATAATCAGCCAGAAAGAAAAAATTCAATTACCAAGGAGCCACAATCAGGATCACAAATAACATTATCATGGTTGTTCGTCCTTTGTTCTTGTAGAGGACCAAATTTAGTAGCCACTACTACAGTGAAAGAGTGGAGAGCTTGGAATATGATACTCCAGAAGGCAAAGGATATAGGTTTACAGGCAAGAATAATTCACCCAGCAAAACATAATCATACGGGGGGGAAATGGACTTTATTTAATAGACAGCATTCCTGATGAAAAGACCAGAGCAGAGTAGAAACTCTGAAGTTCAAACTCAACAGTAAAAGAAATATAAAAAGGTAACCACTAATGAACACTTCTAAAGGGCTAAACAAAAGTAAACTGCTGACATTCTAATATGAAGAGATAAAAGTCCTCTTTGAACCCAATTATGATAAGGGGTCAGGAAGGAAGTCTAATTAAAAAGAAGGCCTTGGAATGATTAGGTTATGTCTTGCTAATCTTAAGAAAAGAACAAAAGAGGAGGGAAGAGTAATACATTGGGCAAGATGGGAGAAGGTTAGGGAAAATTATCTCACATAATTAGGATGCGCCAGTAAACATCAATATAAAGAAGGAGAAAGGCTGGGGAGTGCAGCTGACACTTGAACTTTACACTCATCTGAACTAGTTAAAGGAGGGAAAAATACACAAACACTTGGCTATAGAAATACATTTCTTTTAAAAAGGAAACAGGAGGGAAAGGGAAGAAGGGTGAAAGAGGAATTAAAGGAGGAATTAGTTCTAAAGAAAACAAACTCTAAAATATTTATAGTACTTTTTCAGGTGGCAAAGAATAGGAATCTAAAGGGGTGCCCATCAATGGGGGAATGGGCATACAAAATAGGGAATACAAGTTATAGATAGATAGATAGATAGATAGTATTTGAATATGATGGAATACCATTGTATAGCAAGAAATGATGAAGGGGATGGTTTCAGAGAAACCTGGGAAGACTTACATGAACTGATACAGAATGAATTGAATGGAACTACAACAATTTATACATTGAATGACTTGGGAATTCTCATCAGCATAATGAGCAACTACTATTCCAAGTCTAATGATGAAACATGCTATCCAGCTCCTGATAGAGAGGTAAATAATATGTACACACAAATACTTGTATATATGTATATATATGTAGATAGACAGATTTCCTTTTGAATATAGCCAATGTGGAAATTTGTTTTGCTTGACTATATATGTTTTAAAAATTTTTTAATTTTATTTTTTCCCAATTACTTGTAAAAAACAATTTCTAAACTTCATTTTTTTACAACTGAGCTCCAAGTTCTCACCCACCATTCTTTCCCTTCCCCTTCATTGAGAAGGCAAGCATTTTGATAAAGGTTATACATGTGCAGTCTTACTCATACATTCTTTTTGTTGTTGTTGTTGTTTTTAAAGCTTTGAGTTCCAAATTCTATGCTTCCCTCCCTGCTCCCTGAGACAGTAAGCAATCTGATACAGGTTATATGTGTGTAATCACATAAAACATTTCCATATTTTGACTATATATGTTTATAACAAGAGTTCTGTTTTTCTTTAATTCTCAACTGGGTTGGAAGGGATGGAGAGAACAATTTTTGCTGATTAAAAAAATTTTTTTTAAAGAGAAACATAAAATGTGCTATATGAAATAGCTATAGCTATCAGAGTAATTTAAATTACTTTTGTTTTCTTCCCCAATTTCTTAATACAATCATTGTTCTAGAGAATGTATATGAAAACTCCAAATCACTAATAATAAAGAAAAAATGTAAAACACTTCTGAGGTTTTACTTCATACCCAGCAAACTGGGAAAGATAACAAAACAGGAGAATGATCAATATTTTAAAGGCTGTGAAAAGACTCAATACTCAAATGGATCTATGATACCATGGATTTTGGAGTTCTCTCTAATAATGATGATCACAACGTATCCTTTCCTGCTCATCCTATGGGGCAGGAACATCTGTTTTTTCAAAAGTTTGCCACAGGGAGCCCACAGACTGGAGGCAAAGTCCTTGCCCAATGCAGGGGAATCACTGCTCCAGGTACTCAATTCTCAGGCCTTCCCCAAATTTCAAGGGGACTCAGATTGTCATCTTGACACCCCTCTATCATGTGACTAGTCCATCTTCTTTTCTTTTGATATAAATCCTTGATGATATCTTTTACTACTGTTCTGAGTTTCTCATTGGTTATATGCTACAGCCTGCTCGTGTTGACTATATGCCTTTCCAATGATCTGTGTGACAGTCATCTTTAGTTCTATGGAAACATCGTTGTTTCAATGGTTGCTGAGACACAGCAATACCTATAAAATGCAACTATTGAAAAGATGCACCTTGAACTTCATGGGAAGTTTGGGGAGAGGAAGGTGTCAGTAAAAGATTTCTAACTTCCCAAAATCAATCTATTCTTTTTTCCTCATCATTGTCAGTTCTGGGCCCAGCTCACTGTCCATCTGACTATCTGTTCCACATATACACATTGGTGGACAAGCTCTACAGAGTATATGTCCAAAACAATGTTGAAATTTGGGCAACAGACATTCTTTATCCACTTGGTCTTTCACTATGTGTATGTACAGGCCAAACATCTTTGACTACAGGACTTCTCTTTCCGGAGCCTGCTGTGTCTTGGGGCTTAATGTAATCAACACAATGTCATCTGCAAACAGAAGTATCCAGAGGTCCTCATCATCTACAGAGAATCCCTTCTGGACCTGGATTCTGTGGTGTATCTCTTAGATCACAGTGACAAATACCTTTGGTGACCTTACATCTTCTTGATATATGCTTCACCTGATATTTATTATCAGGCTCATTGAAGAGGGTTATTTCCATTGTTACATCTTTCAAGGAATCTAAAATAATCTTGATAAGAGGCATCTTGCTGTAAATGAGCCTGTAGGTGTTTTATTCTGCCAAACTTAAAGTTTTTTCATAATCAATAAATGACAAGCACAATGGGGTTATATATTTATTACACCTTCCAGTTAACTATGAGATCTATGGTCCACTGAAACACTGCGTGAAAAAGCCTTGCTGTTTCCTACTAATACTCTCAATGAGGATACCCTCAAATTGATATATAGATGATTGTTTTAAAGACTTTGTATAGATGGGAGTACACACAGAGATCCGTAGTTATTGATCTTCTCTCAGTCATTTTTTTTTGGTAATAATGAAATTCCAGATTTTTTCCATCCTTTGGTATCTTTATTTCCTTCAGTTACCTTCTAGTCTCTCAGTGCCCCCATAGTTGTATCTTCACCAGCACAGATCTCCTCTATATCTACTTTGTCCAGGAGAGCTGACTTTTCCATCTTTGTTCTCCTTAGTGCCATTTCTACTTCCAATAAAAACACCTGAGGGACTGTGATTTTAGGATCTAAGTGTGGAAATTCCACTATCCCTGATGGAAAAAATAGTTTGTTGAAATGGTTTTTGTAAATCTTTTCTTTGTCCCTTCGGTTTGTAATCCTTTTTTAAATTTTCATCCTTGAATGTTCTTGGGTTGACTTTCCTAAATTGGATATTTTGGTATCTTTAAAGCATTATTTAAATTGATTTTATTCTTTATTGTTTCTCTCTGCTTTATGAAATGATACTCCTCATAATCATCCATCATCCTTCAGGAGATTCTACAGAATTTATAGTCTGACCCAGAGTTACCTTGGGTGGTCATCTCTTTCTGGCAAATAGGTTAAAAGTTTGCTGACTAAGGTACTCTCTGGGCTCTTTTGGAAGCCTTGTTATGGCAATTAATTTAAATTAGTTTAACTTCTGTATAAAATTACTGTAACTGATGTCAATGTCATTCCTGTTTGTCTACTTCCCATTCTTCATTTTCATTAAAATATATTTTTCATTGAAAAAATAAGCACACTAATACACTGTTACTGGATCTGTGATGAATCCAACCATTGCAAAAAGTAATTTGGGATTATACAAAGAAAATTACTAAAATGTCCATATGTACTGACCCAGAAATTTCATGGTTAGGTATATACCCTAAAAAGTCAGAGAGAAAAAATATCTAACACATTAAAAAATATTTATAGTGGCACTTTTTGTAGTAAAAAGAACTGGAAACAAAATAATGCCTATCAATTGGGGAATTTCTAAGTAAATTATAAAATATGAATGTGATGGAATATTACTGTACTAGAAGAAAAAATGAATACAAAGAACACAAGGTGGCATGAAGAGTTTCACATGAAATGATGCAGAATGAAGTAAAACCAGGAAAACAATACACACAGTAACTACAATAACACAAATGGAAAGAAAAATAACAAAAAACTGAAACTGCATGCTATGTCATTTTAATGACCAATCTTGACCTTGAAGAAGAGATACGAGACTGCATCTCCCCACCTTCCTTCTTTACAGAGGAGGGAAAACATGGAAGCAGAACACTGCCTACCCTGTTAAGAGTCGATTGACGTGTTTATCAGTTTTCAGAAATGATTTTTTTCCTTTTTCTTTATTCTTTGTTATAAGCAATAGCTCTCTGGATAATTAGGAAATAACAGTGACATAAAAACAAAAGATAACAAAAAATGTTTAAAAAGAGAAAACATCTGATAACTTCATAAGAGAAGAAAAAATGGTCAAGAGCACACATAAAAGCCTTTTATGAGAACTAAGAAGACATCAAAACTTAGTTTTCCATTACAAGGAAAGAAAGATAATCCTAACCTGAGAAGTTTGTGAAAAGTCGTGAGAAGGTAGAGAACCGGTTGCGATGTAACCACTGTTGAGCTTCCTGAGGGGTACTTGTTGGCAGAAGGTTCTGAAACCAGGAGTACAAAAGAGTAACTTTGTAACTATAGAAAGTAATCTACTGCAGACACATCATACACATCAGATTCCGTGGTAATGCTAACTTGGGTCTAATCCGTTCACAAATTTTCTGTACCCCCAAAATTACTCTCCTACTAGAGCAAGGGACGCCTAAAAGTGTTATCTGTTGAATACCATAATCCTCAAAATACTTCTAAACATAGCAAATAGCTAGCATTCAATGTGAGACTTACATCTGCAATTGGAGGAGGTGGTTCTGGCTGGTGATTTGGTGAACCATTCCTAAAGAGACATTTAAAATAAAAGAGTAAGCCCATGACAGCCTGAGGAAGAAAACTGAGAGCTACAATGATTATCACCCTTTTTTTTCCTCTCTCTAAACAGTAGATCTTCAGATCACACACACTGAGAGAAATACAGGGTATTCTAAACATCTTGGTGCAGTTTTGAACTATAAATTTTAGTTTAACTATTAAAACTTAAAATTGCACCACGTTGGAACACCCTGTACTTAAAATCAGAGAGGCAGTGCAGCAAGAGAACAGTTCTCAAAGCCAGCAAGACCTAGGTTTGAGTCTAGCCTCTGTCACATAAGTGGCTATGTTGCCTTGAACAAGTCAATGAACATCTCTGTGCTCTAGGAAACTCTCTAGGATTGTAAATTGTACAGAAGGTACTGACCAGCACTGGTAAAGGGAGTGTTCTTACCTGGGAGTTTCCTAGATCAATGAAATCACAGGCCCAGCCCCTATCCTCTATCTCTATTTAGAATTAGTATTTTCTATTCTGTGATGCAGGGGCCATCAAGAATTTTTGGTACCCTTATTCTCCCTCCCTCTTCCCACTTGTTACATGGGTATCTCCAGAGCCCTGAAACAATTTGTGTGAAAGATCCAAATCAACAGAGTGAAGGAGGAAAGAAGGAAAGGGTAAGAGGAAAAAAAGTGAATAAGAAAGCAAAATAAAATTAATATCTTTAGAACTATCATTATATAGACTATATGATCCATTTAATTATAAATACATCATAATCCCAAGAAAAAGTCTATCTCCATAGACTGTTGGTTATGTTTTCTTTCATCAGATAACATAACCTAAATGTGTCATTCTCCTAACCCCACCCCACCCCCAGCAATCAGGAAACCCAGAGTCAAATTCAGTTGGCCACATTATTAATTGCCTCAGATTGTTGGCAATGTCTTCACTCTGCTATCTTTATTTGAGCTTCTGTTCTGTTTTTATCTTTAATTGTCCTCTTTTTGCACTATGTTTAAGCTTATAAACCTCCTCAAAGCTGAAATAAGTCCTAAATAAATGAAAGAAAACATCATGTAAATAGGCCACCCCCACTACTTCAGACCTGAATGCAGCCCTTGGGAAATGCCTAGTAAAGTCCAGAGTTTTAAATGCTAAGAACTCTCTTCAGACAGTTTTCTCCCATTGGGGCTTCCCCCTCATGTCCTGACTTGGCTTTTTCCTCTCCAGTCCTGTCCACTCTAGCCAGGGTGCACTCCCCTCTCAGTTTCCTCATCTGTAAAATGAAAGGGTTAGTCTAAATGACTTTTAAAGTCCCTTCCAGCTCTAAATAAATGATCCTATGATCCTAAAATATAACTACCTTTTTTGGCGTCTGTGCCAACTTTCAATTACTTCTGGAAATGAGAGATAGGAGTTAAATGGAATAATAATAACAATAGTTTGCATTTTAAATTAAATGCACTTGACCAAGTGCTTCTATATCCATTGTCTAATAAGAGACTCGTAACAACCTTGTGTGGTAAGGTAAGTATTATTTATCCTCATTTTACAAATGAAAAAATAGGCTTAAAGTGATTGCCAAGCACACAAATCTAATAAGCATCAGAGCTGGGACTTAAAGCCGGGGTTTCTAACTCTAAATACAGTGCTCTTTTCTTTCCAGCATGCTATATCAGCCTCAACCTTCTTTGTAAGATGTCAACATTCAAATACCAGTTGGCAGTTATCTATAAAGTGTCAACAAATGGCAAAAAGGACTTATGAGGAACTTTCCTATAATATGAATACTAAATAAACAGTTGAAAGACAGGTGGTAAGATGGTGATGGTAGAACTTCCATAAATCCATCTGCATAGAATAATCGGCACCCCCAAGTAATTGAAAGTTGACCATAAATGCTATTTTCATGAGTAAAAAGGTTGTAAGGGCTATAGAAATGTCTTCAAATCTTGTATGAAGGTGGTCCAACAATGACTACCAAATTATTGCTACCAAAATGAAACAGATGGGAAAAATGTGGCATGGTCAGAAGACGTGGGTTTGAGGCCCCAACTCCAACACTTACTAGCAGTGTGACCTTGGGCAAATCTCTTAACCTACAATTTCCTTTTATTTAAAAAAGGAAAAAATACTTACACTACCTATTTCTTAGGATTGTTATGAGGGAAGTGTTTTGTAAACAATAAAGCACTATACAAATGTTAACTATTATTATTATTGATCTAGAAATGTACACCTCATTTCTGGAAAGGTCATGAAAGAATATATTGGAGTTCGAAAACAAGCCAATTTCATTTCTAAGACTTACCCTTCTCCAATTGAAAAACTGCTATGGGAACTGTTAAAGCCAGGTGATGGGGAATTATTGACATATGTGATCTCAGGCCATGGAGAACACTGAAAACAAAGTACAACTCAGACATAAAGTAGACTTAGTAGACTTAACTCTTATGTTCTTCTTTAAAATTGCGTTATCTGAACTGCAAGATGATCTCCCCAGAGAAACACAAGACCCATATCTTGATTCTAAAGTCCTAACCTCACAAATTTCCTCTATTTTCAGAGGCCTACATACATATGGGAACTTCTCCCAGGACTACTACTCATACCAATATGGAATTACAAGGCAAATACATGAATCCCATATCACTTTATGATTGCATGGGGAAAAATAAATGCATTGATAAGCAGGTGTTTTGCCCAAAACTCTCTCTATGCCATAAATTACCTAGCAGGCTTGTTAGTTTTAGTTGGGTAACAGAAAAGTTAACTCCCAGAGAAAAGGCAAATCACTCAGAAAAAGACTGAAATGAACTCCTGAAAAAATCTTTTTACCTCCGTGAGTATAGTTGTCTCATAGGAAGGTTGGTATTTTTCCTTTTCATGAGGGGTTCGCTTCTCCATTTTCTCCCTGTCTGTTTTTTGCTTCCTGTCTGCACCTTTGGGCTAGAATTAGACAAATTTTGGTTGAAAAATGTGTGCTGATAGAGACAGATTAACTAACATAGTTGGCAACTGTTTGGTGAAACCATGCAAACTTCACGGCCTTCCTCAATCCCTTAAAGCTCAAAGAATCACAGAATTTGAGAGTTGAAAGGGATCTAAGCAGCCATCTAGTCTAACCTAGACCTGAAAGGGATTCCTATTATAAAATACCTGAAAGTAAGTCACACATCCTCTGCTTGAAAACTTTCAAGGAAGAACACGTCATTACCTCTAGAGGCAGCCTATTCTACTTCTGGATAACTTTAAGTGTTAGGGAAGGGTTTTTTCCCCCAGACATGAAGCCTAAAATGCCTCCTTGCAACTTCCACTGCATTTCTGGTTCTCTCCTCTGAAGCTAATTATAATAAGTCAAATTCCTTCTTCACAGCACATTCCTTTAAATGTATGAAGCTGGCTATCATATGGCCTCAATACTTCTTTTCCCCAGGCTAAAACATTCTCAGGTCCTTCAAGTGATTTCCATCTGATACAAAATCAAGGCCTTTCAATATATCTTAGCTGTCTTCCTCCAGATACACTCTAGCTTATCTTCAGCTGTGGTACCCAGAACTGAACACAATACTTCAGAGAAGGCCTGATGAGGGCAGAGCATTAGGCAACTATTACTTCCCTATTCTCGGAAACTATGTCTCTCTTTACGTAGACAAATGGCACTAACTTTTCTGGCTGTCACACCACATTGTTGACCAAAGTTTAGTGGAATTTGCAGTTTGCTAAAACCCTTGGATCTTTTTCAGATAAACTGTTAACCAACTGTGCCTTGCCCATCTTGTAACTGTAGAGCTGATTTTTTTGTACCTAAGTGTACGGGTTTACATTTATTGTTACTAAATTTCACCTAATTGGACTGAGGTCACCCTAGCCCAGTGGTGTCAAACTCATATTGACTAAGTTTGAAAATGTGACACCTTTGCTCTAGTCTATCAAAATCTCTTTGGATACCGTCATCACTGTCAGCTGTCCCTCCCATCTTGGTATGACATACACATTTCACGTGCGTGTAATTTGCTCTTCTCTAGTCTTTTAGCACCTTTACAATATTTCAAATATTACTGACGATGGTTCAGCAACACATCTGCCAGTTCTTTCAGTACTGGAGGATGGTGTTCATTTGGGCCAGGTAACTTGAATTCATCAAGCTCAGAAAAGGATTCTTGTTTCTGCATCCACCCACCGAATCTAAAAACGAACAGCTGTCACAATTAAGCCAGCACACTTCTAGCTTAGGCTATATTTTAAAAAAATTTTATTTTTCTAAAACTTAAAAAATATCAAAATTTAAATACAAAATAAAAGAAAAAAATGTCACGTGCACGGCACAATGTAAGAGGATTCAAAATACACAGCAATAAGTTTTCATTTCAAGAGTCTATGTAGGGGGCAGCTAGGTGGTGCAGTGGATTGAGCACCAGCCCTGAAGTCAGGACGACCTGAGTTCAAATCCAGCCTCAGACCAAACACTTGACACTTACTAGCTGTGTGACCCTGGGCAAGTCACTTAACCCCAATTGTCTAAAAATTAAAAAAAAAAAAGAGTATGCAATGAATTCCATGCATTATGTTGAGAGCTATCCATTTTTGCTTCCTTTTAAGTTTTCTTTGTTCTCTCACGTTTTTACTATATTGTATTTGAAATGACAATTTATATTTCTGATTTGTTGAAACAGAGACAGAGAAAAGGAGAGAGACCAAGCAAAATGGTTAGCAGTACCTTGAAAACTTTGATCTGACAGCTGGCTGAATGCAAGTGTTCAGTGTACTCTCCGTTCTCATTCTCCTTGAAGGTGTCAATCTGAACTCGGAATGGTACACCCTTTTCTCCACCATGTTTTCTCATTGTGAACTCTGTGCTGATACAATGTACCTGAAAAAAAAAACCCAACCCAACAGTAATAAAAATAATGCTCTTTTCCTCTCTTTCTGCCATTGACATGCTTACATTCTAATGAGGGAGATAGCTGAAGAGTAATCTGGGCTAGGGAAATGGCATGTATGAAAATTCCAGGGGGGAACAAGACAAGCGCAGAGGTAGTTAGGAGGTTTGGTTAGCTGGAAAAATCTGGGGAAGCAAATCATTCATGAGGGCAGTTAAAAGGAGAAATTATTCTGCTACAGACTCTATTAAGGGCAGAGCAGATCAGGACTACTAGAGAGGGTTTGTTCCACTTGCTTTCCCTTTACACCTACCCCAACATGGTTATTCACACTGCTTGGATGATCTGGGAATCACCAACTACAATCATTCTGGGGAAATGGAGGACCATCAGGACTTACTGATATGATGTGCTATGCACTCCAGACCCCTGGGCACATGTAACCTACTCATGCATCCTAAGGACCCCTGGACCTTGCCATTTGTTCTGTCACCCTTAGGGCTTTCAGGCTTTTCCACATGCCATGCAAATGAGCTCTTTCACATGTTTTATCTCTTCCAATTACAGTTTAAGCACCCCGAGACAGAGACTGTCTCACTTTTTTTGTTTATATCCCTACTGTGTAGCATAGTATTTAGTATGTATAAAGTGCTTAGTAAATGCCTTTTCATTTATTTATTCAAAGGGGCTCTAAGGCACATGCTGAGAAGTTTGTACTTGAATCAGTTGGGAGCCTCTCTAAGGGGTTATATCTTTATCATGTGATATTCCTTATTCAGCAAAACAAGCAACTTGGGATGTACTTTATAATTGGACACCACATCTTTTTACCTGAATAAACACAGATGTCCTCTTTGCAGGGTCCCAGAGGAACTCTACGGTATTCAGTTGTGTTGGATTTGCCCTAGGGTCAATTATACCTACAGACATTGGAATATCTGAAAGATAAAATACTAGTTATCAAGCAGTTGAACGTTATTAGGCTTAAATGAAAAACCATTCATTTTCATATTCCTGTCCAGAGTTAGCATGCAACTGGTTGAGTCTTTACCCTCTTTTTAGGTAAAAGGAGTAATTATTTCAGTAAAATTAACAGTTCTAGAAAAATGACTTATTTATTTAATAACACTCCTAAGCATTTCTCCTCTGGTCTGACTTTAGGGGGTGTGTGTGTGTGTGTGTGTGTGTGTGTGTGTGTGTGTGTGTGTGTGTGTGTGTGTGTGTGTTTAAATTTCAAAGGTTTAAAACTGAATCAATTTAATAGCTCCATTCCAATTTGCCAAAATGCTACTCAGATGACTGGCTACATCTTCATTTTAATTTTGACCCAACTGAAAACTATCTACAACCACAATGTATCTGAGTACAGAATCGATCAATGTTATTGCAGAGGCCTAAAGGAGGATCACTGTACAAAGAGTCAGAAAAGAGTCAAAAAGCATTATATATAGAACATTGAATAAAATATAGTACACAGGAGTTGTGAATTGATCCAACCATTCTGGAAAGCAATTTGGAACTATGCCCAAAGGGCTATAAAATTTTGCATACCCTTTGACACAGAAATACCACTTCTAGGTCTGTATGACAAAGAGATCAAAAAAATGGGAAAAGGACCCACAAAAATATTTATAGCAGCTCTTTTTGTGGTGGCAAAGAATTGGAAATTGAGGGGATGCCCATCAACTGAGGAATGGCTGAACATGAATGTAATGGAATACTATTGTGCTGTAAGAAATGATAAGCAGGCCGACTTCAGAAAAACCTGGACAGACTTGTATGGACTGATGCTGAGTAAAGTGAGCAGAACCAGGAGAACACTGTATATAGTAACTGCCACACTGTATGATGACTGACTTTGATAGATTTGGCTCTTCTCAGCAATGCAAGGATCTAAGACAACTCCAAAAGACTCAACATGCTGTCCACATCCAGAGAAAGAACTATGGCATCTGAATGCAGACGGAAGCATACTATTTGCACCCCCTTTCCTTTGCCGTTTTGTTTTAGTTCTTCATTCTCATGGTTCCTCCCATTAGTTCTAATTCTTTTATACAATGCTCCTTTACCTCATGACTAATGTGAAAATATGATTAATATGAATGTATAAGTATCAGATTGCACACCATCTGGGGGGGAAGAGAGGGAGAAAATTTAAAATTCAAAGTCTTATAGAAGTGAATGCTGAAAACATACATATATGGAGGGAGAGGGAGAGAGGGAGAGAGAGAGAGAGAGAGAGAGAGAGAGAGAGAGAGAGAACGAGAACATAGTTTCATGCCACTGGAGAGAGTTCTTCATCTAGGATTAGGTGGCAGGTGCTACAGACAAAAAGAAAGCAACAAAGTATTACATTGTGTAGGCTTCAGTAAAGCTCTGGATTTCACTCTCCATAATATTTAATTTTTAGGAAGATATGGACCGATCCTTACTACTTAACAATATAGCCAAGCAGACAAACACTATTATTACTGGTGAGAGCAACACCTCAATGTAAAGCCAGGGATAGTAACTGAGTGGGTTCCAGAAACATTTCACTGTAAATAATTGTGTTAAATCCACCCTACGGGCAATCATACTTGCACCCATTGTGTTATCTCTGTGAGAATTACTGTTCTCATTTAAATCTGGTAGCATTCAGTTGTTTAATACCAAAATATAAGAGCTTCCTCTCCCTCTTACCTCCCCCTTTCACAAAAGTATAAATTCACTATATTAATCAAACATAGAAACATATTAAGAGTAGTATATTATATAATTAAATCAATTAAGAGTGCCTTCATTAAGGAGTGAATGAGAAAATGTAATCGTCACTGTGTTTCAAGATCACTATCCTTGTGTTAGGGAAAAATGCCTATTCCACATATTTCTGTTTCATCTGTGCATATAAATTTTTACTACAAAATTAATATTAATCAATAGAGACAAGTGTCTACTTGCAAATTTACCTAAATCAAGTTCTGCTAAATGACTACATTTTGTATATGCTCAAATACAGCTATCAATATACATCCTGTTCTGGTTCTGATGACTGTGCTTTGCATCATCTCATGTCTATATTCTTTTGTGTTCTTTGTACTTATTTTCATAACACTTCATTATTTTACATCCAATAACATCAATTTTTTTCAGCATTTCTTCACTCAATGGATATACAAATTCATTTTTTGTTATTACAAATAATGTAGCTACGTAGTTTTTCTTTTAACTTTTCATAACAGTTTTGAGATCAAGTTCTAGAAATGAAACTTCAGGTTGGGGTATCATCATTTCTGTGACTTGTATTTTTTGTTGAAATATTGTTCTCCAGAAAGTTTGCAGCAATCTACAATCCTACCAAAATGTAATAAAATATATTTCCATAGCTCTACCAGAATTGAGTTTTATAATTAAAAAAAATTTTTTTTTTGCCATTCTAGTGAGTATAACATGGCATTTTAAGGTTGTCTTGTCCTGCATTTCTCTGATTAGGGAATTTGAACATATTTTCATGTTTAACATTAACAGTTAACACTTTTTTCAAAATTTGTGTGTTCAGAGCATTGACAATCATTTCACTGAGGTGTACTTATTTTAATTCTTATGACTATCAATTTCTTATAGATTCTGGATGTCAGACCTTCATATCATTATACTTATCACAAATATTTTCCCCAATCTGCTTCTTTTCTCTTAGAGGTAGTACTTTTTATTATACAGAATTCTTTATTTTTTATAAAATTTAATCTGCTGATTCTGTCTATAACTTTATTTTCCATTTGTTAGATTGATTTAAAAAAAGAGTATTCCTTCTCTATAGCCGAGCTAAAAATATTATTTTCTTCCAGGTTTTAGGGGTGGTTTTTTCTTAAAATATTTTCATTGCTCATCCAGGTAAAACTTTACTGTGGTACAAAGTGTTAAGTATCTGTTCAGATCATTTTTTCACTACATAGTCATCAAATTTTCTCCAACATCTTTAACTGACTTATTGATTCCATTCACCAGTGTTTTTAATCATGAGTTTATCAAATACTATGCCCTTAAATATATTAAGTTCTCTATTCCTTTTCCACAATGAAAGAAAAGAGAATGGGTGAGTGTGTGTGTGTAAGTAAAGTAACTGTTTGGTAGGACATTTTGAAATCTGATACAGCAAGTCAATTTTCTTTTTCATACTTCTTACTGATATTTTTCCATCTGCTTTTCTATGTGAATTCTGTTCTGACTCTATTACAATGAACTCATTTAATGATAATGCATTAAATTTGTAGATTATCTTGGAAAGTACTGCTCTTTTTTAAAACAATATTTATTTGACCTAATGATGACTAGCAGATATTCCATTTCTTTAGTTCCTTGATTTCTGTTAAAGATAATTATTAAGTTGTCTCTGTATCTTTTATATGCCTGGTCTTTTAATGCCTAAATGTTTGGTGCCTTTTGTTGTTGTTATGAAAAGTATTTCTCTATTGAGATTGCTTGATTCTTATTGGATACCTAGAGAAATTAAGATGATTTTTGTAAGATGTATTCTGTATCCCTCTACTAAAGTCATCTGTTACACCCATTAATTTTTTTTTCACTGTCTTAGGTTTTCTAGGTATATAATCATGGAATCTATAAACAGAAGTAATTAAACGTATTTGCTAATGTTTATTCCTTTGTTTCTTGTGTTCCATTGCCACTTCTTAAAATTTACAAAAACTATCTCAAATAGCGGTGGTGTGTATGAACAACTGTATTTTAATGGCAATGCTTTTAGTGTTCTTCTACTGCACAAAAGATTAGTATATGATTTTGAATATATACTTTTTATCATATTAAGGAAAGAGTTTTCTATTCCTATGTTAATAAACACTAACTGATCACTATTTTATCAGTCTATCTCTATGCCTACTTATATGATTATATAGTCCCTGTCTAGGAGAAGTTAAGAGCTGGGGGTTCTCTAGAAAAAGCTACAGTATGGTCAGAAAGAACCAAGTCAGGAACCTTTGAAGGTAGGGAGTCAGTCAGTCAATAAGCAATTATTAAGCACCTACTTTGTGCCAGGCACTGTGCCAAGGATACAAATACAAAAAAAAGGCAAAAGACAGTCCCTCTTCTAAAGGAGCTCACAATCAAATGGGGAGATAACAAGCAAATAAATATGTACAAATATGCTATTTACAGGATAAAAATGAAATAATTAATGGAGAGAAGGCTCTACAATTAAGAACTGGGAAAGGTTCCTGTATAAGATGGGATTTTAGTTGGGACTTAAAGGAAGCTGGGGAAGCAATAGGCAGAGATGGGGACCATTTCGGGAATAGAGGGCAGCCAGAAAAACTGCCCAGAGTTGAAACAGAATGTCTTGTTCATGGGACAGAAGAGAGGCCAGTACCACTGGATTAAAAAGTACATGGCAGGGAGTAAGGTGTAAGAAGACTGGAAATGGGGCATCTAGGTGGCACATTGGATAGAGCACCAGCCCTGGAGACAGGAAGACCCGAGTTCAAATCTGGCCTTAGGGTGCAGCTAGGTAGCACAGTGGATTGAGCACAGGCCTGGAGTCAGGAGGACCTGAGTTCAAGTCCAACCTCAGACACTTGATTACTTACTACCTGTGTGACACTGGGCAAGTCACTTAACCCCACTGTCTAGCAAAAACAAACAAAACAAAAACAAATCTCACCTCAGATACTTGATACTTACTAGCTATGTGATCCTGGACAAGTAACTAAACCCTGTTTGCCTCAGTTTCTTCATCTGTAAAATGAACTGGAGAAAGAAATGGCAAACCACTCTAGTACCTTTGCCAAGAAACCCTCAAATGAAGTCACAAAGAGTTGAGACATGATTGAAATGACTAAACAACAATATAAGTAAAAGATCATACAACTAAGGAGGAAGCTGAGGAGTGGGAGGGGGAAGGGAGAGTGGGGGTGGACATCACTTGAATTTCATTTTCATCTAACCTGGGTCAAAAGAGGTAGAATACACAGTTTGGCATAAAAGTACATTAGACTCAAAAGGGAATAGGAAGAAATAGAGAGGAGGGGCAGTACAATAGGGAGAATAGGTCATGAAGGAGGTTCAAAAGAACCTGTGATTGATGTGTGAGTAAAGGGAAGTGAGAAGGGACAAGGGAGTAGAAGTAGCTTGAATCAAGAATGGCTCAAGCTAATGCTATGTATACTTCTCACTAATCACCATCTTTTTCTTTACAAAAAGAAAGGTAGGGGGCAAAGGGAGGAAAAAATAGGTAAAATTTTAAAGTTTATACATAAACAAAACCAATGCAATTAAAATGAGAAGGAAAACAGGTAACAGGGAGAAAAATCTTTGCAGCAAGTTTCTCTAAAAAAAATTCTCATTTCCCATATCCAGAGAAAGAACTATGGAGTCTAAATGCAGATCGAGGCATACTATTTTCTTTTTTTTTTCTTTCTCGAGGTTTTCTCCTTTTGTTCTGATTCTTCTTTCATAATATGACTAACATGGAAATACGTTTAATGTGATTTTACATGTGTAGCCTATATCAGATTACATGCCATCTTGGGGAGGGGAGAAAATTTACAAATCAAAATCTTATAAAGTAAATGTTGAAAACTAAAAATACATAAATAAATGATTTTTAAAAGTCTCATTTCCAAGACACTTAAGGGATTATACAAATTTTAAGGTAAGTCATTTCCTACTCAATAATGGTCAAAGGATACGAACAGTTTTTAAAAGAAGAAATATAAGCTACCAGTAGCCACATGAAAAATGCTCCGATTGAAATATGCTCTTAATAGTAAGAGAAATGCAAATTAGAGAAATGCATATTAAAGTAACTCTGAGGTTCCACCTCACACTTATAAGACTGGCAAAGTTAATGAAAAACAAAAATAACAAATGTTGGAGGATTTGGAGTGGAAAAAAAAAGATACTACTAGTACAATTCTGAACTGGTCTTGCCATTCTGGAAAGCCAATTTAGAACTATGCCCCCAGGTTACTCAATTATGAAAGTCCCTTGACAATGATACTACTACTAGATCTATACCCCTCAAAATGATCAAAGAAAGAAGAAAAATATTTGCAAAAGTTCTCATGGTAAAGAATTGCAAATTAAGGGGCCGGGGAATTGCTGAACAAAGTATGGTATATGAAAGTAACAGAATTCTATTGTGTCATAATAAAAGATAAAAGGGATGCTTCCAGAGAAACCCAGGAAGATTTCTATGAACTGATCCAAAGTGAAGTGAGTAGAACCAGAACAATTTATATAATAACAACAACACTGTAAAAGTAAACAACTATGAATGACTTAAGAATTTTGATCGATGCAACAACCAGCCATAATGACCTAGGATAATCATGTTTATCTATCTCCTAACAGAAATAGATGATGGAGTCAAGATGCAGAATGAGATATACATTTCTGGACATAGCTAATCTTGGAATTTTTTTATTTGACTATGAATATAAATATGAATACAACATATAATACAATGTAATATGGATATAAGTCTCTATCCCCTTCATGCCAATTTCTTTTCTAGTATATTCTATTTTTTTCTTTTAATGTCATCAAAACATAACAAAACCACTCCTATGAATATGTGTTACAATGGTTTTGTTTCTCTTCATTTTTGTCTTCTGGGTTTTTTTTTGGTGTGTAGAGGGAGAAATGAGAGGGAATGAAAATGTATGCCTGTTAATTGAGGAAAAATAGGTTAAAAAAAAGAAAATTAAGTAATATGTTGCACTTGGTAAAACTAAATAGGGGGACTTGCTCTAGCTATGCCACTTTGTAGCCATATGAAGAGAATTTCAAGAAACCCTTAAAAAATAACAGAAGAGCATCCCTGATGGTTCCTCCCTCACCTGCCTTTTTCTGAAGGGTAATCCAACCTCTCTCATCTTTGAAGGTTTGCAAGGGGAAGAGGGAGAGGAAAACTGATCTATTTTTATAGTGCTATCCATTTAATTAAATTCAACACACACTTTTGTGTACTATGTACAAAATACTTACTGTTTTTGACACTATCACTCCCTCTTCCATAAATATCAGTGGCTCCCTATTATACCTAAAAGCAATATCCTCTGTTTGGCATTTAACCGTCAAAGTCTGGCAACAAATAGCCTTTTTACATATTAAACACTTCACACATTCTTCAATCTAGCCAAATGGACTTTCCTGCTGCCCCTTACATGTGGCCTTCATTTCCGAACACCATGACTTTAGCACAGGTTGATCCCCTAGCTGGGCATGCACGCCTTTTTCATTCCCATCTCTCAGAATTGCCTGTTTCCCGTAAAGCTCAGCTCAAGGGCCACTTCCTCCATGAGGTCTTTTCTGGTCTCTGAGCAGCTAGTTCTCCCTCCACACCAAGGTTACCTTGTTTTCTTTTATATCTATTCCGCACATACTTCTTTGGGGACCTGTTGCTTCCCCAGATAGAAAAGAAGCTCCCTGAAGGGAAGAATATTTGATAAACTGTGTGTGTTCCACCACCACCTAGCACAGTGCCTGGCACTTAGTAGGCACTCAATGCTTGCTGAGTGATTGACGGAGGAATTAGAGAGGGTAAGTCATAAACCCTGCTCTTATACAGCTTAAAGCCTAGGAATGTCCTAGCATTTCTCTGAAGGAGCAAGTGCAATTAGGACATATAAATAAGAGTTAAAAACTTCAGTTTCTATTTCAAGATTAATTTGTTTTTTCATGCTACTTATAATAATAATTTCCAGTTTCAATGCTTAGAAAATTCAGTATTTTGAAGTATTTTGAAATAACAGTCAGAGAAAACCATTTCTCTATTGTAGCTAAATGCATTCCCTCAGTAGCACATTCTCCCAATTCACCTATATCAAGGATTCTATCCCCTGGCCTGTTCCATCTCCAGCCCTCAAGCTGCTGATGCTCAGTGTACTGCAGTCGTCTGTCATGGAATACCACTCGAAATATACTCTGGAAAGAAAAGATAAAAACCATTAATAATAGGATATATGTATCCTCCAAGGTTATGAGTATTACCAAGGAGGTATGATTAGATGATTTCTAAGGCCTCACCAGCTCTAAAGTTCTATGACCCTATGAAAAGCAGCTTTGGTGCACCAGGCACAAGAACTACATATGGATTCAGAGGACCTGGGTTCAAATCTCAGCTAACTGTGTGGGTAAGTCATATAATCTCTCTGGGGCCCAGTTTCCTCATCTGTTAAATGAAAGGGTTGGATTAAATGTTCTTTAAGATTCTTTCTAGCTCTAAATACTATGACTGTATTTGTTAAACATGTTGCTCCTTCCTGGCTGTTCTGCCAGGTAAATCAGTGATGACAAAACAAAATTAACAGTGCTTAGCCTAAGTCTGTTGCTGGATCTCATCTTCTTTATGTTCTTCTTTTGAGCATCACATTCCTGTTGAAGGTTCTAAATCAGAAAGCCCTATATCATTAGAAACCTGTTCACTGACCCAGATTTCCTAACTATTATTAGCAATGTTGTCCAGTATTTGAAACTTGACTCAAATGTTAGTTCTGATGCCAAAGAAGCATCAGGTATCACTAACCTAAACTTCGTCTTTTTTCTACTAATCATACATTACAATTGGCCCAGATTTGCTGATGCATAAGAAAAATACGCAAGTCCACACAAAATGACCCATTACAACTAAATAAGCATAAAAGATGGGCAGGGATCCTATTTGCATCATGCTTCTTTTCTGTCACATTTTACAAGATGGAAAGAGCTATTATTCCAACCATACCTCTAGTTATGGGCAGCTAGGTGGCACAGTGGATAAAGCACTGGGCTTACAGTCAGGAAGACTCATCTCCCTGACTTCAAATCTGGCCTCAGACATTTATTAGCAAAGCTCCAGTTATAGCTGCTATCATAGCAGCAATAGCTTCTATTTATCCTGTTGGTTGACCAAACATCCAGTGGGGAAAGGAAGACTGCTTTCAAAGCTCTCAGAGAACTTGCTTACTTTCAAGGCAGCAGTTCATTTTACATTAAGCCTAGGAGATCAACCATGATGATGGAAGAGTAAACTTCCACCATTTTGAGGCTTTTCAGATAGCAACCAGACCTTCACTAATTACATTAAACATAGAGTATGTGAATAGAGCTGTCCTTTGCTGAAATATCAGTGGGATTCAAAAGGCATGAAGCCTGGGCTTTCTGAGATCAGCATATCTAGTTAGCAAATTGTGGTAGGTAGGATCTACAGGAGACTATGAAATTTTTTGTCTCAAAAAGGGCAGAGAGAAAATAGTATGAGCCGGTGGTTTCTTCTCTTTCCTTTACCTTCACTAACTTGCCATTGATTTCTGGAAGTTCTCCAAGTTTCCTGTTGTCCAGCATTCGGATTTCATAAGACTGTCCTAGAAGAAATAAAGATTACATGTTTATAAGGGAAGCCAACAGTTCATCAAAAACAAACTTAAGATCTATAGAAAGTACATTTTCAACTGGTTTTAACTATGATCATAAAATAAAGTGTTCTGTGATCAATTTGATCACTAAGGTGGAGGAAAAGTGGAACTGGATTAGAAACAAGAAGGACAAGAGGACAGGAGAAACTAGAAATATAAATCCATTAATTCTTTCACTGCATTACTGACAGGAATGATATTGGCATTATAACTTAAAAGCCTGCTCCTTGGAGGTAACCTTTTAGTAGAACTAGTCACAACCATCTTCAGAAAGTTAAAACTGGTATTGTACAATGACATGAATGCAGAGGAGCGTAATAATATTAATGACAAAAGAAATAGTTCACCTTGATTGAGATATGTGAGTGTTTCATCATGGAGCTTTACTGCAGGAGAGGTAGCAGCACAAAGCACATACTGGAAAGGTAGGATTTTATTCTCATTATCAGGTGGCAAACTTGACTCTTCTTGTTTAAAAATGGGCAAAGCAAGGACATCACTAAAACAAAAGAAACACTTGACTTTCAAAAACATTGGACAATGTTATAAAAAGGAATTAATTCTCATTGTAGGTTAACTATATGTAATAGTTTAATAACTACCACCAATAAAAAAAACCAAAACCTTGAAAATCTCATAAATAATACAACCAGTTAGGTTTGATTTAGCCTACAAAGTGAAGGTGAATGTGTACACAAGCTGCATTTTAACCATGTAACAAATTCAAATGACACATCAATAATACTACTACTGACTCACATTTATATAATGGCTAACAGTTTACAAAGTGCTTTCCACACAATAACCCTGATGAGCTGCCACATTTCACAATGTCATCCTTGATCCCAAACTGGAAAGGGTTCCTTCCTCTCCCCAAATCTCTCATGTCTTTTCATTTTATATCTCTGCCAATTTAGGGTCATAGAATTTAGAACCGGAAGGGATATTAGAAACCATCTAAGGGGCAGCTAGGTGGCACAGTAAATAGAGCGCTGGCCCTGGAGTCAGGAGGGGTGAGTACAAATCCGACCCCAAATATTTGATATTTACTAGCTGTGTGACCCTGGGCAAGTCACTTAACCCCAACTACCAAGAAAGAAAGGAAGAAAGAAAGAAACCATCTGAAGAAATTAAAGACCAGAGAGTTTGATTATTATTAATATGTATTTTTTTTTGACCAGAGAGTTTGAAAGATTTGTCCAAAGCCATTGAATGAAAAAAAAATCCCATATATACCAAAGTATTTATAGCAGGACTTTCTATGATAGTTAAAAATTGGAAATAAAGCAGATGTCTACTGATTAGGGAAAAGCTAAACAAATTGTGGCACATGAACATAATGTGCTATTACTGTGCTGTAAGAAATGACGTGTGTGATGGAAACAGAAGCATAGAAAGACCTAGATGAACTGATGCAGGGTAAAGTAAATGGAACCAAGAAAACAACATACATAGTGACTACAACAATGTAAATGGAAAAGAACAACATCAGAACATCAAAAGTAAATTTAACAAAAATTATAAAGATCAAGTAGGACTCGAAAGAAGAGATATTAGAAAATACTACCCATCTGCCCCTTTATGGAAGTGAGAGGTCCACAGGCGTTATACACTGCAAGTGATACTACTTCAATGTATTGATCAATTATGCTTTTTTTCCTCTAAAAAAAATACCATTTGATATAGAGAATTAAGTCAATTTACAAGAATACAAGTCATTCCTCAACTGATAAATGGTCAAAGGATATGAACAGGCAATTCTCAGATGAAGAAATTAAAGCTATCTATAGTCACTTGAAAAAATGCTCTAAATCACTATAGATTAGAGAAATGCAAATTAAAACAACTCTGAGGTACCACATCACACCTATCAGATTGGCCAACATGACAAAACAGGAAAATGATAAATGTTGGAGAAGATGTGGGAAAATTGGAACACTAATGCATTGTTGGTGGAGCTGTGAAATGATCCAACCATTTTGGAGAACAATTTGGAACTATGCCCAAAGGGCTATAAAAATGTGCATATCCTTTGACCCAGCAATAGCACTTCTAGGGCTATATCCCAAAGAGATCATACAAATGAGAAAAGGACCCACATGTACAAAAATATTTACAGCAGCTCTTTTTATGGTGGCAAAGAATTGGAAATCGAGAGGATGCCCCATCAATTGGGGAATGGCTGAGCAAGTTGTGGTATATGAATGTAATGGAATACTATTGTGCTATAAGAAATGATGAACAGCCTGACTTCAGAAAAACCTGGAAAGACTTACATGGTCTGATGCTGAGTGAAGTGAGCAGAACCAAGAGGACTTTGTACACAATAACAGCCACGTTATGAAATGACTAATATTGTTAAACTTAACCCTTCTCAGCATTACAAGACATCTCTAGAGGTCTTGGGATGGAAAATGCTATCCACATCCAAAGAAAGAACTATGGAGTTTGAATGCAGATCAAAGCATACTAGTTGCTATTTTTTTCCTTCTGTTGTGTTTTGTTTCCTCTTTCTTGTGGTTTCTCCTATTGGTTCTAATTCTTTCTTACAACATCACTAATGTGAAAATATGTTTAATAGGAATATACATGTATAGCCTATATCAGACTGCATGCCATCTCGGGGACAGAGGTGGGGAGAGAGGGAGAGAAAAATTTAAAACTCAAAAGCTTATGGAAGTGATTGCTGATAATTCAAAATAAATTAATTTTTAAAAAGTTTAAAAAAATACTATTTGTCATGTGTGATAGCTCTCAGGGAGGGGTAAGGACACATGGAATACTATGGTGATAAAAGAAACAGAAAATATCAATGAAAAACTTACTAAAAAAAGAAAAAGTTGTCCAAGATCACACTTGTAGTTCAATAGCTCAAACTGTGTACATATCTTCTCTACCTATCAGAAGTAAGCTCTTCTTGAATTACGTTGGTTTCCATCCCTGCATCCCCTACATTAAGCACAGTGCTTTGAACACAGTAAATAATAAATGTTATTGAATTAATATTGATAAAAATCTCCATTATGCAAATGAGGAAACAAACTCAATTAAGTTAAGTAGGCAATCTCTCCATAATCACAATGCAATACTAACAACCAAAAGCCAGAGTTAAGACTTGAATCCAGGTCTTCTGATGCCTTATCTGGCACCCATTGCTAATTCTACTTCAGCACAGGTAGAACAATTAAAAATAATACATATTGCCTCAAGAGTCTATCTGGGCAACATTCTTAAGTTAGTAGATGATGGTGGAGGGAACCTTTAAAAAATGGTGCTTAAATTGGCAAAAATGGTCACAAAAGATGGGAATAATGAATGTTCAAGACAGGTATAATAATATAACATCAGTGGAGCTGTCAATGTGTCTTATCATTCTGGACAGCAATTTGGAATTGCACTAAGATAGTGACTAAGATACCCATACTTTTTGATCCAGAGATCCCAAGCCTATGCATATACTCCAACAAGGTAAAAGACAGAAAGATTTATATACCAAAAAAAAATTCATAGCAATATTTTTTATGGTAGCAAAGAATTAGAACAAAGTAGATGCCCATCAGTTGGGGAATGGGTAAGAAATTTCTAAGACATGAATGTAGGGATAGGGACTAGACTTGTAATTTCATTAATATAGAGACATGAATGTAATGGAGTCTTTATTATGACATGAAGAGACCATGAATATGAAGAATTCAGAAAAACATAGGAAAATATATGAATTGATACACTATGAAATAGAAAAAAAAAACCCAGGAAAACAATGGACACAATGACTGCAATAATTAAACAAGACCCAACAAAAAAAAAACAACAAATGCCTGAATTTGGTGTAATTATAATGACAAGGTTTGTCCCTTAAGAAGATATGAGAAAATACACCTCCCTCCCTTATTTGTAGAGGCAAGGGATTATGGATATAAAATACTACACATACTATGCATAAATCAACTAGGTTGATATATTGGTTAGTCTTGAGGAACTTTTTTCTTTTATTCTTTGTTACAAGGAATGGCTTCAAAATTTTTTTAAGATAGAAAAATGTTGTTTAGAGGCCCAGAATTAAAACTTATCACTTGCTTAATGTGACTAACTTTGTGACAAGATTGTGGACTGGTGGTGATAATGAAGAACCCACCCGAACCCCTGAGACCACAAGAAAATCTTCATGATCCACCTTAAAAATACAGCCCTGCCTTAAATCAGGGAGATGAACTAGACTCAGTAGATAATTATTTCCGACCTTTAGGGAGCTTCAGTCCTTGTTTATTTGAGTTCATGCACCTGCTCCCTCCTCTACCAGTCCCAACCAGAAGTACTGTATGACTGATATGTATGTATGTATGTATGTATGTATGTATGTATGCATGTGTGTGCGCGCGCGCGTGTAAATGAATTAAAGCTCATTTTATTTTGAGAATTTTGTGATACCACTTGAACATTAGAAAATAACCAATGGTTACACAAAGCAGGGTTGGAAATTATTGTTCTGCTTAAGATCCTTTCAAGCCCAAAACTGTAGGCACAGGTGAAAAAGTTCAGGATGAGTCTATATATATATATTGTAAGTAGTTCTCAGGGGATCAGGACATTATCCTCCACTAATGTTGGGTAAAACTAGCTTTGATTATAGAACATCAGACTCAGAATATGCCCCATATTATTTGAGCTCTATGGATCTCTGGTTTGCAAAACTGGTCTAACTAGTAGAGAGATATGATTAAATATATTCTCTTAAAGAAAGTAGATGAGAATGGGCCAGCATCTCAAATCTAAAATCTGATTGTGGTAGATAACTTCATTATTATTATAAGTTGTATTACTTTATCCACAAAAATCTATACTGCCCTCGAAATGTGGTCTATGTTGATTATTGATTTAAGTGGCTGATTACACAAAAGCAAAAAGACGAATGAAACGTCAAAACTCCTTATAAGTACCACATACCATCTGCATTTCTATCAAGTACACATCACTTCACTTCTACACATTAAAAGGATCATAGAACTTAGAGACAGAAGAGATCATCTAATTCAACCCTATTCCTTGCATTGATGAGGAAACTGAGGCCTAGAGAGGTTAAATGATTTGCTACATAGTAGAGCCAGGACATGAACCCAGGTCTTCTGACTTTAAAACCACTACACCATTTCAAGGCTATTACAGTGAGGCAAAAACTATTAATACAGACGACTAAATTCATATGAATCTACATAGAATTACTACTTCTAATGAGATATAAACAAGTACTGATAATTGGTTTTGTCTAACCTCTAAACCAGACCAAACTTTGAATAAAATTAGCACTAAAATTTTTAAAAAAGCAACAAAGCTCTCTTCTGCTGATGCCTTGCTTATTATTTTAATTCACATAGAAATTTATCTATCTCACTCCCTACATGGAAACAAGAGTTTATGAACTGCATAGCTTCTATATATTGTTAAGGAAGTATTTTAAAGGACAAGAGAAGGAGAGTCCTTTCTTTTTAACCACCTGCAGCT